TAATCCCTTGCGGAGATAGCTGGTCTAGCATATCACCTGTACGCAGCAGTCGTAACCCAGCCCACCGACTGCACCCAAAACATGTCCCGCTCTCGACTACATCTTCAGAAGTCTCTCCCACTCTTCCTTGGCTCATTCGTCAGCTGACCGATTCGAGTCTTGGCCAGGATGTGTGGTATTTCAACCCTTTGAAACCTGAGGACATCAGGAACTGTCTGCACCCCTACTGCAATTGTTAGTACAGTTGTGGGGCATCAGTATTGGGCCCAACATGAATAGCTTACCCTGGACTTCTGCCAGTCTGAAGATGCGAGTGTTTGAAACCTGTGAGGTGAGGCACATTGATGCTGCCCTGTAGTTTTTATAAATTCAGTTCGTACCTCACAGGGAACACACTCCGTCTCCATAACAACGCCCAACCGGTTAATGCTGTTTAGGGAAATAATCGCTGTTTACTGTGAGAACCATACGGAACACATAAATACACTGTGGGCAGAATGCAGAGTTTTAGTATCTTGAAGTCCGTACCTCACAGGGAACACAATCCGTCTCCATAACAACGCCAACCGGTTAATGCTGTTTAGGGAAATAATCGCTGATTACTGTGAGAACCATACGGAACACATAGATGCACTGTGGGCAGAATGCAGAGTTTTAGTATCTTGAAGTCCGTACCTCACAGGGAACACAATCCGTCTCCATAACAACGCCAACCGGTTAATGCTGTTTAGGGAAATAATCGCTGATTACTGTGAGAACCATACGGAACACATAGATGCACTGTGGGCAGAATGCAGAGTTTTAGTATCTTGAAGTCCGTACCTCACAGGGAACACAATCCGTCTCCATAACAACGCCAACCGGTTAATGCTGTTTAGGGAAATAATCGCTGATTACTGTGAGAACCATACGGAACACATAGATGCACTGTGGGCAGAATGCAGAGTTTTAGTATCTTGAAGTCCGTACCTCACAGGGAACACACTCCGTCTCCATAACAACGCCCAACCGGTTAATGCTGTTTAGGGAAATAATCGCTGTTTGTTGTGAGAAACATACGGAACACACAAATACACTGTGGGCGGAGTACAGGGTTTCTCTGTGTTAAAGCGAGAGGTGTTATGTGGGGTTTCAAAAAGTTAAACCAAGGATGGTCTTGGCCATTAACTATTTAATGTAAATTGCAGTGACGTATGCTCTTCGTAAGTTTCCTTCAGCATGTATTCGTTTGTATTAATGTAATACACGCTTATGCTCTGTATACGTAAATTTCCTTCGTAGAAAACCATATACTATACAGATGTTATGATATCACAGCCTGAAGTCGGCTGTAAGTTCAATCAGAGAGTTTCAAGTGCCTTACACTGCAATAATTCTGCGATTGATTTCTACTAATCCTGTAGAAAATGCTCCCGGAGATTATCCTGATATGTACGCGACACAAGGTGCCCAAATCACTTGGTGCTGTTACACCATGTTCCCTCGAGCCATCAGCATCGCTACTATATCAGTCGCGTTTGCTCATCACGAACACCAAAGGAAAATCCTGTTCAAATAAAACCCGTTCAGGGACTTTCTGTGTGAATTGGTAAAAGCTTTTTAAAACAGTCACACTGCTGCACCAGGGATGGGTCTCCTTACAAAGAACTCATTGACCTGCTACTAGTACCACTTCGCCACAGCGACCTTGACATCTTAGTTTGATCAAAATCCATCAGCTCCGGGAACGGGTTTCAGTTGAACATTCCTTATACGTGGGGGGGTATGCCGTAGTTACATTAGACATGTCTTTCATAGTTGAATTTAACATTTTTTCCCCACAGATAACTGCAAAATTGAGCAAAGAACACTCGAAAATATGGCGGTAAACATGGCCAACTTCGTGATATACATAATTCATACGAGATTAGGTAAGAGTTCATAACTCCAAAATTGAGCTATGTATCCTTATTTACACCACCATGAGACATAAACGCGTAAATTTATTCGAGATGAAACTTATCGACTAACACAAGCAATTCTTTTGAGTTCATTTTATATACTTTGTTCAAGTGGCCTATTGTAACAAGATACTTTGCCTTCTAAAGCATCAGGGCAACACACAAGATATAATCTAAAGGATAAAGATACATTTCATCCTCCTGTCACTTTACAACGCTTAAAAACGATTTAACAATCATAAACCGAGTTTATTTTGATAAGCAGAGATATTGAAATCCCCACTAAATGAGATTTATCCTGTGGTAAACAGAGGAATGGCTGTAGGATTGGAGTTCGGATCTGAGAATGTAATCCCACTCTCACTGATATCAGGCTCGAACAGAAATATACAAATGTCTGGAAAGTCCCACTAACGTGTTAGTTTTATTGACAGGAATAATAAATTCAATTTCAAAGTCTAACCATTAGGTAACAAGATTGGAGCATTCTGAGATGTGATGCCTTGGTACCTCTCTACCACACTACACGGCGCCACATCCCAGAAGACGGCATTCTGCGTAGTCACCGCCGTGAAAACCTCAAATCTTACGAAATTTATATTTGTTAATGTTAATTTAGCTCGCACATGTGACCACTGTACTTCAAAAGGTGAATACCCGACATCACTGTGGAGATCCTGTCAAAGTGATTGGACAGTCTATAGACTGTTATGGCAAGAGATTGGTTTAAATCTTACGAAATCTTATTAAATATCAACATGAGAATAATTATCAGTGACTGATTGTGGATTTGATGCTAAATGGCTTAATCCCTCTGTCTCTTACAAACAGTTTGATACCAGAATTAGATAAGGTTGTACAGTCGTAACTCTCGAAAGTTACGCAATTTCCTCTCTGTTCTCATTAAAATTCCCCGCATAAGCGAATGGCTCTTTGTACTCGCTTCCTTCAGGGTTGGAAAACTGAATTAAAACGAATATCGGGAGTTCCTTTATTGCTGATAATGTTGTAAAGAATTTGATTTGGGACGAAATTAAGAGGAGATTGAATTCGGGTAATGCTTGTTACCATTCAGTCCAAAAACTTTTGTCTTCTCGTCTGCTGTCTAAAAACGTAAAAATTATAATATATAAAACTACAATTTTGCCTATTGTTTTGTATGTGTGTGAACTTGGTCTCTGACATTAAGGGAGGAACATAGACTGAGGGTGTTGAGGAGAATATTTGGACCGAAGAGAGATGAAGTGACGGGAGGTTGGAGAAAACTGCATAATGAGGAGCTTCATAACTTGTACTCTTCTCCAAGTATAATTAGAATGATCAAGTCAAGTGAAGGATGGGATTGGGAGGGCATGTAGCACGAAAAAGTTCAGCTCCATGAAGTTAGTCAGGAGTTGGGGCAGATTCCTACATCTCCTCTGGCCTTTACCCATGGTCATTCCAAGTCACGTCACAAGATGACTCTGTATATCTCTACACAAGGAGTCAGGATAGCTCTATCTCGGAAACCGTTTCGAATAGGACACATTTTTTGCTTAGAATGACCGGCACTATGACCTCCCGGAATACTGACCTTTCCTCCTGGGAGACTCTGTATATTTCTATATAGAGACAACTTCATAAGATGAGTGACATGAAAGAAAATGAGCCACAGGATAAACTGGAAGATAAGACCGGCCGGCTGAATGTCTTCAGATCGCCGAGATGCAGCCCTACAGGGGGCTCACACATTTCTTCCTCGCCCACACACATCCGTAACTAAGTCAACATCTCGTTAGAGATCCAGCTACTATTTCTCTCTAACAAAATTCTGCATTCCAAAAATGTTATCGGCGTCCAAGTATTACACAGCGTTTTCTTCAGCCGATAGATCTGATTGTCTGCCGCGTGGGTGCGAGATTTTGAGCCATCAAGGACAGAGTTTTATCAGCGATACATGAACATCAAGATGAATGAGTTGTAGGGTAGATCTTGTTCAGTTTTGTTTTATCTGAGTGCGGTACTGGGGTTTCAGTAGTCTTCTGTTATTACATAAACACCTTTCGCTCTTGCTGTCTCATTTTAAACTACTTTCTTTATTTTGAAAAAAAAATGAGAGTAGGCTTATGCTTTCATCATGCTCTCTGCATGTCTGTATCCCCACTATCGACTCCTGAATGCCAACGAATCTTTATGAAACTTGGTACTGAGCCCATCTCAACGGCGTAATTCATAAATCCCTCCCATCAGTCTCTGTGTCTGTATGTGTATCACCCTATCGTTGCTAGGCAACGGCTCGGTAAATTATATCCCCTCCCTTCAATTCTAGGTAATAACTCAGTGAAGACCTTCCCGCGGCAACGAAGAATTTTTGAGGCGTCATTTTCTACGCGATCCATGTCATATGAATAGAAAGTAGGCTATTACTCTTTGCCAGAACTCCTTGTTCAAGTTTCACACCCATAACGCAAGTATAGAATGCCTATAAATTCAATCCCTTTTGGAGTGCCTTGGTTTCAAGTTATGAAACACAGTGCTGGAACCATGGGCCTATGTTTTATGCAATACATATCGCTTTCAAAATGAAAAGAGAAGGAAAATCTGGTACATTCCCAGCCAAAGACTTGATATTCATTATCGAGCATGGACCTGAGCGGTGCCCATTAGCCTGGGTCTTGAAGTAAATAATTTGATGAGTCACGTTAGATAATAAGTTTTGCCGGTCGGTCGGGTAAATTGCTGCTGGCCCTCGCCAGGACAGTCAATCTTGGTTTCGGGCCCAGTGGGACCCATGGCCCATACTTTTCTGTCTCATGACTCAAAATATTGTGAACCTTTATGTATAAAAATATAAATTTCTCTTTCCTGCCGCGTACCCAACAGGTAACACCCAAATGTTGCGACTGGTCCTCCGTGCTGTTGCCAGCATGCGTCTGGTGGCTTAATATGACTGAGAATTCTTGTTTAAATCCTATCTGCTCTGCTCTGATGAGATTGTCACAAGAAAGGAACCATTTTGCGGGCGAGGAATGGATGCTTCTACCTGTAGACAAATTTTTAATAAAGATTTTATTGTATAAGTCGTCTTGGTAGTTTATTCATACAAGTTAGGCATGGCACACAACATAAATTTCCACGTGGGTACATGAAGGCTGGAGACACACTGTAACGGCGTCGTGTCAACAGCAATTGCTACCAACATCCCCGAGGTCCCAGCATCCTGAGTAGGTCTCTTGGCAGGGATAATTATATTGGATCATATGAACAACTTGGAAAATATTCATTCCGAATTTCTGTGTGGCCAGTCTGTAGAGGTGAGTGCTGAATCCACTTGGTGTGTTCAGTGCCTGAAGCAAAACAAGAAATGTCAATCCTTGAACATGAGTTTCATGAAGCGTTGTCTGTTTCGCCGTTCCTTTGGTGGGTCATTTAAGGTCTTTTTCACTGTGTAGACTATACAGGATGTCCTAGGAAGAAATATCAATATTATGGAATTACATCTCGGAATATTTTCTCGTGGGACACTCTGTATAGCTTTAGGCTGACGGATGAATAATGAATGGAGCTTTGGAAAGGATTTGGAAGGAAGCTGCCGTGTTCTAATCGACCTACTATTCCGGTACTTAACTAGAGTAACTGAGTAAAACTGAGAAAACTATCAGGATAGATGATGGTGCTACCGAGATTCGAAAGGAGCACCCCCGTAACACAGTCCACACGTTACTTGCGTGGTGTGTTAGGCCATTGTATGAAGCGAAATATCATTGATAGAAAAATGTTCCTGTTAAATGTGTTTTCACTTGCATTATTTTTTATTGCTAGTGGGGTGGGACTAAGTCCCTTGCACTGCGGCCACTTCTGGCCTATTGTACCAGCCCCAGATGATAGGTGAGGGTGATTGTGGAGCAATTGGTGGAATGAAGATTGGCAGGGGAAACCGAAGTACTCGGAGAAAACTTGTCCCAGCGCCACTTTGTCTACCACAAATCCCACTTGACCAGACCCGGGATCGAACCCGGGCCGCCGCGCTGGGAAGCCAGCGACTAACCGCTTGAGCTATAGCGCGGCCCCTAGTTGCACCTTCTCTGAGTTTTGTTGTCTCTGCGAGCACGCATCCAAGCGGAAGAGACAGACGTTACTGCCGTCAAGTCTGGCAGATCCATGACGTATAGTGTCGCTTCACGGAAACGCTGTGGAAAATTGTGTTGTAATCATCAACGTAGTCTTCAGGCTTTTAACTACAAGCCATACAATTCAGTTAGGATATAACAAAATTTGAGGTGTGCGATTCCTTTCGCTCTATGTTCTGTTAGAAAAATGTAAGGTTACACTGGAGTTGCACGCATAACCGCATGTAGGTCTTCATACAAAGTATCCTTTATTTTTCTTCGAGTTTAACCAAAATTGAAATATATATACAATTGTTGATGAAACTTCCCATTATAAACTTTCATGAAAAACTGTTCAACGGATTTTGAGTTGTTACAATTGGACAGACATGCTTGGGGGTCATCTTTACAACTCTTCACCGCATACTCGCCAAAAAAGAAACAAAAATACGAAGGAAGAGACACAGTAAACAGCGCGAGAGTCAGTCAGTGTGTGAGTGTGTGTGCCGTGCGCGATACAAGAGACACATTAAAGAGCGCGTGAGTCAGTCAGTGTGTGAGTGTGTGTGTGCCGTGCGCGATACAAGAGAGACAGTAAAGAGCGCGTGAGTCAGTCAGTGTGTGAGTGTGTGTGCCATGCGAGACACAAGAGACTCAGTGAAGAAATAAAGAAACGGTTACCTCCAAGTTGGAAAATATTCTGTCAGGTACCCCTAGACCCTCTGGCGTCAGAAGATGGTCTGCGTAAGGGTATGGTTTGATCTTGGATTCAGCGCTGTGCTGAATGACGCCCACAGCCAGCTGATATCTGAGGAACGGCGCCTTCACTGCATGACAGATTCATGTCATTCGTAGTATTAAATCGTTAAACACAGGAAGATTACTTAGAAATGCCTCACAGGAAAGCCTGTGGAACTCATGGGGAATTTTCTGCTATATGGTTTATCAACAGTGGATACTGAACTTTGGATACTGTGGTCATTACAGCGGTTGACGGCTTATCAACCGTGGATACTCAAATTCGAATTGTTACGCTGATACATTGCTACAAATATTATGTTTCTGGACATTGCCCATCGTCCTGTTTTCTCTAAAAAAACTGGCCTTTTTTTATTTACAAACAGAACGTTTCGGAGACTGAGTTCTGTCTCCGTCTTTACGTAAAATCTAACGTTTCGGAGACTGAATTCTGTCTCCGTCTTCACATAAAACCTACCGTTTCGGAGACTGGATTCTGTCTCCGTCTTTAAAACCAACTCAGTAAAACCGAACGTTTCGGAGACTGGCTTCTGTCTCTGTCTTCCGGTGAAACCAACTTACAATAAATAAAAGTGTTTTAGAAAAGGACAGGACGATGGATAATGTCCAGAAACGTAATGTTTGTGTCGAATAATGTAGGTTGTAAATCTGTTTACAGTTTATCAGCCGTTTAATCCTGACTGCTAAGAGACCAGCGAGCATGACATTTCCGTGACAGGTTTTAGCAGAATCTCTCCCTCTCACGGTATGCAGTCTTGTACGTGAATTCTGAGAGGCTCTCTCGTATTGGGAGGAACTAGATTCTGACTTACGCTCGTCCGCCAAATTGTTGTAGAAACTGCCATACTCGCTCTTGGCCAAGCAGGGCCCAGCTGCAAGCAACAAACACACCACCAGGTACTTCATCTTCCTGTGGAGAGGAGAAATTTCTGTCTTCAGGTTTTATAATTTTTATTCTATCATCAGGGTAGAAGGTAGAAGCGTACTCTTCATCTCTGAAGATGGAGGCAGTAACTTCCTCCGAAACGTTGGTAATGATCTACCAGACTACAAGGGGTCATATACCAGAAAACACTAATCTTAATAGTTACTGCCGTAAGAACTCATATCTCACAATTAGTAAATTGGGTAATCAGTTGGTTCGTTAATCTTTTGTTAGGTTTTCGCTGGTGAGTTTAATATATGAGTTTGGCTTTCGGGAATGCACCGTGTAGAATGTTGAAGGTTTTTGTAGAATGTTGAAGGTTTTCGAGCGTTTCGCTAAATATTACGNTGAGTTTGGCTTTCGGGAATGCACCGTGTAGAATGTTGAAGGTTTTCGAGCGTTTCGCTAAATATTACGACTGTTATTTGCAAGGTTAATGCCTTTGTTCGTTGGAAAGTTTCAACATGGCGATGACACGAACTCACTTCCTGTTTACAAAGGTAACTAGAAATATTCGTAGGTTGGGCCTGAATTGAATTGGTAGGTAATTCACTTCTTGAATTTAGTCCATTGACAGTTTTACTCCTGCTACAAGAGATAAGAAGTGTAACTTTCCACCTTAGCCTCAATTTATAACTCAAGGTATCGATTTACAGGACGAGAAAGATGGCGCTTTCATTACGCAGATTTTATTGTCACATCGATTTCGATATCTCGAAGGACAAGCCACATAACGGCTACTGATGTGAGGTTAAATACATAATAAAAGTGGAAACTCGAGCTTTTAGTGGTGAATCTGCGCAGATGGATGCTGCGCACGTCTTACTAACAAAATACAAACGATGGACATTAAAAAAAACAGCCACATTACAAAATGGTTGTAATGTATCACACATAAAATGTATCATTAAAAACGTTTAAATTCTGCTCTATATTACAGTCGTTTACACAGATTTACGACCATCCACATGTAGAGATTTTCATAATACCGTATTTTTTTATTTTAACTTATAAATAAGTTAGCGGGAGCTAAAAATTGTTGCCTTAAAATGCTGAGATATGGCAGAAAATGTTCCTTTTACTGATAATGCCACATGAGCAGTAACACACATATTGCAAAAACCTGTCTCGCTAAGTGACACGGAAAGTTTTAGAAGGCGTCGTTTGTTTGTGTCTGTTAGGTTTTAAGAGGCGTTATGATTTACAAACGCACAGCTCATGAAAACCAGATGCTCAAAATGTTAATGAAGCTATTCTGGACGTTTTCTGAAACGAAAACTCAGTCCGAATTCTCAATAGAGCACAGTTCTCTACCGCTCATTCCCCATGTCATTTCTTCCGCAGAATTTATTTACGCGTTTATTTGTCGTCTGGGTTCTCAGCGGTTGAGGATATTTTCTTCCTGTGGAGTATAAGTAAGACCGTATTCCGGTCGCGCCATAGCTCAAGCGGTTAGTCGCTGGCTTCCCACCGCGACGGCCCGGATTCGATCCCGGGTCTGGTTAAGTGGGATTTGTGGTGGACAAAGTGGCGCTGGGGCAGGTTTTCTCTGAGCACTTCGGTTTCTCCTGCCAATCTTCATTCCACCAATTGCTCCACAATCACCCTCACCTATCATCTGGGGCTGGTACAATAGGCCAGAAGTGGCCGCAGTACAAGGGGCTTAGTCCCACCCCACTAGCAATAGAAAAAAAGGACCGTATTCCAGTAGCTTCAGTTACAAATTTCCCTTCCTCTCTCTTCTAGATGGCCATTTGTCTCGCGTTATTTTATTTCTATTTTCATATCCATCTTACGTTGAATATATTAGTGCATACAAGCGTGGCGCAAACACATACATGTCTACTGTTATATTAGCCCTTTGAAACATAGTGGTAATTATATGTACCACCTGCTTCGATACTCAAAGCTCTGCATTATGCCCATACAGTGTATAAGTGCTAGTTTCGTATTAGTGTGATTATCATATTAAGCATCGAGTATTATCCTAACAGCATTAAGAGATTGTTAAAAAAACGCAATTTCCTCTGAAGTAGGAAATTAACTTTAAAATATTATTTATATAATTCCGGGCTCCATACGTTGTAACTGATGTCCTCACAACCGATGTGCTTGTCCTGGTTACCAGTTAATGTACAAGTAAAATGAGGTTTGTCCCTGTGCCTAACTAATTAAGCACTGCGCCGTGAAGACGCATGGGGGAGTGGATTTGTAGATCTGCGTATTCTTGACCTCGGCTTTGGTTGGAGGTGAATGGTCAGCTTCACGCTCCGACGGCTTTGCCCTTGGGGAAATAGTCCCCGGTATCCTATGGATAGGAAGTTAAATGGGCCTCAGAGCTGGTCTGGACGACGTGGAGAAGAGGAAATTTTGGACCCTACCAGGACTCGAACTCCGACCTCTCAGCCGTCGAGCTCGTACAAGATAAGAGGTAATCCTTAATTAAGTGCACTCACAAAATGTTCACTGCCTGAACGTTTTCAAACAAAACCTCAAACGTTCACACCGCCTCCTCCGTAGTTTGATATAACACGTAATGTTTTCTGAAACAGAGCATGCGCACTGATGGGAATTCCCCTCTGTTATATTTCGTTAAGTAGACGGGACAATGGTGTACATTCCTCTGAAATGAATATTCGTTTTGGAAAGTTACTTAAGACCTCAAAGTTTCGTCACTCAGGAAAATAAATGTGTAGATGTAGGCTCTAAATATTTTCCGCAATAAAATTTCGTATCCATTTTACACTTACGACCGACCTCATTTTCATGAAATTTGTCATTCTAATAATATTTGATGAAGTGTACACTTTATTAAAATCCTGACTATGTAATTTTCGCGAATATGAGACGCCAGAGAGTATTATATTCCAGTAGAATACACACCTATTGGAATTTCAGCGATCTATATTCCCTTGTCTTACCTTGGTTTAAAATATGGAAACACGTTCCAAAAGTCCAGGATACAACTTTACTAGACCAGTCCAGACATTAAAGTGATCTGAGTTATCACAAAAAATCTCTCTCACAATTTCATTTCTGTCCGTGTATAAAAATGGGAAGTTAACTATCACAGACCTACGTGACGTAGGTCATAATAATCCTCTCTTCCAGATAATCGCGATTCAAATACGTAAGTGTGAAAAATTGATTGATCGGTACAGTATTTGTGCAATCATGGAGGTACAAATATCATCCTTCACATATAACCTCAATAAATCTACACCTTATTGCGTGTGATCTGTGAGTGATCAAGGATTAGGAGATTTGTGTTTAAATCCTTTAATCCCACTGCCTTCAGTAAATAAACAGTTAACAAACTCTGACAATAAATAGATAAGACCTCGTAAGAAAATCATCGAGACAGGGCAGGAAATTGCTCGTACAAGAAATATTGCCTAATAGCCCAATGTCCATAAGGTATACAAACGCAATTATTCATAAAGGATTCTGACCTCTATTAATATATGCATCAAAGTATAATGCTACAAATTATTACCAGAATCCTTTTTAAGTATATTGACTTTTTTAAAGAAGGAATACAAGAGAGAGAAACCATTACGCTTGCGTGTTGAAAGAGAAAGTTTAATGTAACCGACATTTAATGTTTTGTGTTTCAAATTAGTGTCAACCATGAAGTCATTCTGAATATTGTAGGTCTGTCGTTGGTTCGGGGTCAGGTACTAATCAACAAACATTAAATAATATCATGGTGTAAAATTTAATATCGTTTATAGGATTTCCGTTGGGTTTTAGCATTTAATAATAAGAGTGTGTAACTTCTTTAACATATGATTCAAAGTTGTGTACCGTAGAGCGCCACACAGAAGTAGTAAAAACAGATCTGATTTCAAAGCAGTCCAAATTCAGTCAAGATTGTATTATTGTTATTATTATTGCTGAAACATCTGACGCGTTTGTTTTTGTGTATTTTACCATTTATGTTCGAGAATAAACGACATCCGTAGCACTATCAAGTATACTTTAATTCATTAATTTAATTTATAAAAAGAATGCATGCAAGGTTTTGGTGGGAAAGCCAGAAGGAAGGAGACCACTATAGGATGTAGACGTAGGAGGCAGGATAATATTAAAATTGGTGTTAGAGAAATTGACTGGGATGTTATGGACTGAAATCATCTGGCTTAAGATAGAGACCAGTGAAGGGCTCTTGTGAACACGGTAATGAACCTCGGGTTCCATAAAATATTGTGGAGTTCTTGAGTGGCTGAGCGACTGGCGGCTTCTCGGGAAGGGCTCAGCTCTATGGGGTTGGTTAATTTATGTATACATACAGGTCTATAATTCAGGTTCGTTTAATTATTTTCGCAAATCTCGCATGTTCGAAAACCATAGTTGAATGTTAATGTGCACTGCTTGGTATTTGCTTCATGCTGGCTTTCGCTTGCCTTATTCTTCAGACCTGAAGATGGAAGTGACTTGTTCCTGGAACGTCAGTTGACCTTCAATAGACTACACTGTGTTATGATCCAGAAGGCAGAACCCTTCTTTCTAAAACATACAACTTCATAAATCTACGCATACCTTCCGTTTTTGTTTAATTAACAGGAAAACCGTAAGATTTACAGAAAATGTGTTTCGGATGTGAAAAATGTTTTTTTTTGTGCAACATTTGTTCAGAACATTATTCGGTCTGATTCATCACGTGAGTACTGAGCATACTTTGTCCATCAACACCAATTTCTGAGAAAGTGGATTTGATGTAAGGTAGTCATGTGCAGTTTAAATGTGACTTAGAACAAAACACACACTAAAATCTCAGAGTTGCAACTGAGGTAAAGCTATGGAAGTGTGTGCAGATAGTGCAACGCAGTATGGAGACTCAGAAAGGTTAATTGGTTCATTTTCGCCTAAAGAAAAATGGAAACAAAACTCAGACGATGAAATATTTAGCAAATTATCCTCGAGGTGTGCGTAAAGAAACGTGTAGGTTTTCGTGCAAAGGAGGTATTGCTTTTGTCCGATTTTACCCCAAATTGGATTGGCCCACAAATATTACTGAAAATCTCTAATATCAAGTTCCAATTAATCTGTTCAGCATGGGAATGCGTGCGCTCATAAAAATTGCTGAAAAATTAGGATCTATATCATTTCCCAACAATTGAGTATCCATGGATCTTCCATATGTCTACCAAAATTCAACTGAAAAATACCTTATAAGACGGCTGGATTATCCGGCGGGCTCATAGGAATTCATGTAAGTTGTAGACATTTCTTAACGTAACAGAAGTAAATTGTAAGCTTCCTTCGAAACGCTGAAAATTACACAGCGGCTCTCTCGCCATCTTGTGATTGTGCGGGTGTACTAACTAATCAGGTTTGTTATCCGTGCCGAATACGTACATTTGTATACTCTGTGTAATTGTGAAGATTGTGAACAAAGCAGAGCAAGCAGACGAAAGAAGAATTGCGTGTAACATACTGAAGTGTTTTGATACAATAATGACAGAAACTCAGGAAGCAATGTTATCAGAAAATATAACATTCAAGAAGAAGAAAACAAAACAGCTTAGAAAACGAACCGACTCTTCCGAGGAAAGTAATCATAGTGAAGAAGAAGATAATGACGTCAGGTAAACAATAGTAAACATAACCTCGTTAGGATATATTTTAATTCTTCCATTGCTAATAGATACGTGATAACTAAAAATAATTTATTTCAGACTAAAATTGGAGGAAATGAAAACCCTACAGAAACTCAGGAAGAGGCAGAATGGAGTTAGCATTGTCACTTTGGCACTTGGAAAGAAGGTCGTAACAGAGGATGAAGCACTGGTGGTAAGGGATTATCACATTGAAAACTAATGAAATTTTAAATGAGGTTTGTATCATAGAAACAAAACTGAAAGCGTATCCTTGTGTGGACTTACTGCTGGAGGCAAAGTCTAAGGTTAGGTTATGGATCTTGTTATAAACAATGGTTGACATCATTAAGATGGTGGTAAATTTTAAAGTTTCTTGCGTCACCCATTAATGCGTAAGAACTGGAGAATTCTGTGATGCATTTATCTCACTTTTATCAATTTTTCTTAACCTTCTTTTTTGTACACCACAGAAATGTGTTTAATTTTTTTTTTTTGTAGACTGATCCGTTTAAGCTAAAAACTGGAGGGATGGTGCATATGAAGACACTTAAGAGTGGCAAAGTGAAACGAATAGATGATGCATATGATACGGGAATTGGGACGCAGTTTTCTGCCGAAACCAATAAGAGGGATGAAGATGAAGAAATGTGAGTTTTGTTTTCTGTTACTGTCACATAGTACCTCTCCAAAGTTCAGCGAGTGACTGATTTCATATTTTTAACCATTAACGTTTATCTTGAATTTGGGTAGGGATGTTTGTTACTTACATACTCACTTATTCATAGGTGATCCACATATCTTTAAAAGGTATACTTTAGTTTTACGTATGCATGTGCTGTAGGATGAAGTACATAGAAGAACAGCTGTCAAAACGGAAGGGCAAAGTAAAGGCAGAAGGCCAAGTGTCTGCAAGTGAAGATTCCAAGTACTGTTCTCCAGAAGAGGCGGCTCTGCAAGCAGTACCTGACTATTTGCGTGCTTCTTCCACGCACCGCTCAGAGGAGATGCTGTCCAATCAGATGCTAAGTGGGATTCCAGAAGTAGATCTGGGCATAGAGTGAGTTATATCAATATGCCATGAAATTATGTTTAGATGTTGTGTAAATACCATGAATGTCGAGATGATGCTTGAAGGTTTACCATCTAGCTGACGCAGTGCCGTAGAGTGTTACTTGAATGGATTCTAATAACATCAACATGAAATTTCCCATCATTAAATAACATGGTACCTAGGTTGGTTGGTTTCCAATGGCTGCATTTGGGATCATTTAACCCATTTTGCTTCCTGCTTCCCAATAGTGAGCGAGTTCTTGCTTTGTTGCATCTCCTTGTTAAGATTAGGGCATTGAAGGTGTTCTTTTCCCATAGACGATCCTGGCAAGTTGCACGGTGTAGATTCTTCTGTGTTATATATTCCTGTCTTACAAAGATGTGCTGCAAGGCAGTCATGTCCTGTATTCAATCAGAAATTTGCAACAGCTTCTTTTCTGGGTTTCTTGCTGTTAATTTCCCAAAGTTTTCATATTTCTGACCATTTCTTGTTGTATGGTTCCTTTCTTTCTTTACATGGTACCTTATCACAACAAAAACACCACACAGGCTGGTCTAGAAGTAAAACTCTTAGGCTTGTATGTGGGAAATGCTTGGTACACATCTCAGCTGGGACATATACTATCATGATTGATGTGGTTCATGGCTTTCTTCAGTTGTTCAGACCACTTTCTTCCAGATTGTTTCCTATTCATCATCCATTAATCAACACTGTCTAGTCTAGCTGGTGAAAGCGCTGTAAAATGACCTGTAAAGAAAGAACACACTGGTCTTCTCACCAAATTTTCCAACCAAAATTTTTGTTAGCTGCATCATTAAACTAGCTTGTATATTTTTCTTTCAGTGCCAAGATACGTAACATAGAAGCTACTGAAGAGGCGAAATTGAAACTATTGTGGGAGCGTCACAGTAAGAAAGATGGCCCCTCACAGTTTGTGCCCACCAACATGGCTGTCAACTTTGTACAGCATAACAGATGTGAGTTCATGTGTGTGTATTTATGCAGCCTATACTCCACAAACCTAGATTCTGCTATACTAATACCCTTAATTTTCCTGCCTTGAACAGTTGTATTTAGAGCATTGATCAAGCGGGAAAGGTATAGTCTTTTGGACACATCTGTTGGCAGACATGCAGGTTTTAACACTTTCAGGTATCTGATATTTATGTTTTGTATTTTGGCGATTTGTTCACATCACAGGAAAACGTTAATTACATGTATGGCCGGTGTAGTTCAGTCAGTATAGCGGCTGGCTATGGGCTGGATGACCGAGGGGCCGGAGTTCGAGTCCTGGTAGGGTGAAGAATTTTCTCCAAATCATCCAGACTAGCTCTGAGGTCCACCAAACTTCCTATCCAATGGGTACCAGGGGCTTGTCCCGGCGGTAAAGCGACAGGAGCGTGAAACTGATCACTCGCCTCCAGCTAGCACCGAGGTCAAGAAAACGTGGATCTATACATCCACTCTCCCATACGCCTTCATGGCATAGTGCTTAATTAGTTAAGCAATGGGACAACTTTATCTTTACCTTTCACTAGTATCCTACAATATTAAACTTTTGAGATCTTAGCCAGGGAACTGATTACCATGACTTAGGTTCCAGTGAGTTGGCTCAGTTCATTATGGCGAGTGCTCGGATAGTACACTGAAACAGGCAATGATCACTTTCAGATCTTTCTTTACTGGCCAGTCATTAACTTCACATCTTGTTCAGTGCTGTATATCACCTGCAGCTGAAACAGAATTGTTAAACAGAGTAAGTAAATCATCCAGTGTCTTCAGTTTGCACCCTCTCATTTCTGTTTCATTTTTTAGTTAACATTGAAGACCCAGAACCACCCAGAAAACGAGAAAGACAAATGGAAGAAAAGACAAAAATGGTTGTTGTTGGATCAACACCAGAAGATAAAGTGAAGAGATCAACAGGGAATGGGGAGAAAGCTACAGATGATTATCACTATGAAAGGTTTAAGAAACAATTCCGACGGTACTGACTGTTTCAGAAGCCTTGTGTGACATGTTCAGTACATAATCCATGCCATTTGTTTTTGTCCTTGTATAAATTAATGTCTATGTTAATAAAGGAAGAAACTGTAAGAAATCAACTGTATTTAATCATAGGCAAGAGTAAATGTATCCCTCTGTCTGAGCACTGTGCTATGAAGGTGTCTAGGTGGCATGGAGGTAAAACTCTTTGTATTTCAAACTCTACCAGATGGAAATGTTAACTTTATCCTAACGGAAAGGAACCACCAGTGACTCTCCAATTTACCCTCAACTAAAAAGAATAAAGAATTTTAAGCCTTTTACAAAACATTTCATTCTCTACAGGAGTTTTTTTAGTAACAATGATAGATGGTAGTTCGTTAATTTGAGTTAGTTTTGATATGATGCGGAAGTATATATAATTATAAAAGACAAGTCCGTCCAGTGTGACTATTTCAGTTATCTCACTTGATGATTCACTAGCCTTACATGTTTCGATCCATTTGGATCATCTTCAGAGGCACCAAACACGTTTTTGAAACCACTATCACAACAATTGTCAATCAAATACACATGTAATGTCCAAGTACACAATGTTCCATCTATCAGTCACAGCAGCCTTTCTGGTTATAGAAATATTTAAAGTTGTTTTAAAAACTTTGTTAAAAATTAAAATTCATAAACCTTACGGTTTGTGTCAATAACCCCTATAACGGACTATATTAAGAATCTCTCTACTCGGTTACATAAGCGGCACAACATCNTGGACGGACTTGTCTTTTATAATTGTAACAGTTGGTGTGACGACCAAAATGAAACAAATAAAAAAAAGTATATATAGTTAGTGCCTTGTAACTTTAGCCGCACGGAAAGGTAAACGCTATTGTGGAGCACGCAAAGCACAATTCAGCGTGGAGTGATGCAGTGTATTGTTGGTCCTGGTTTAATATTTTCGTTAGAACCTTCATACTTCCTCTTGGTCCCACAATTTCCAGGGTAGAGTTATGGCATTCTGCAGGCACAGATGTTTACGATAACTTGTCATAGATGGCAGAAGAGTAGGATGAGACCGGAAGCGATCGTATGCCCGTTCACATGTACTTCCGTGTGATTAGGCCGTCAGCACGGTCAGCACGGTCAGCACGGTTTGAAAGTAACGAGCGGCAAAGAGACAATGTTTACTATTCTGTGACGTCAATGTTTCCGTGCTCTTTCTGATTATAATTTTTCGCAAACATTGAATGGTTGAAAGTTCACAGAGGGTGAACTTTGTACAGGGCGGAGCTGAATGGTATTCACTGCGAGAATATAGTTGCCATCGTTGCAATGAAGGTAAGTTAAGCAAGTCATCGAGTTGGAAAGATGGGACGTGTTGCACAGGTATGTTGTTAAATATTATTTAAAGCTATGTTCAGTGTAATTCTGTGATCAGAACTTATTTTACAACCAGCAGTTTGAGAATCGTCATTGAGACGAAATAGAGGCATTTAGTTTATTTGTATTTATTGTAAGTTCAAGAGATCCAAAAATGGATATAGAACATGTCATAAAATATAGAGCATAGAATGCATACATACTTATTACACAACTAGACAGTACAGTGAATACAAAAATAATAAAAATGATCTGTTTAGATATTCATCCACAGTATAAAACGAATGAGTATTCAAGAAATGCCTTAGTACAACCTTAAACTTTTTAAAATTATTGGATGTGTTCTTGATCTCTGTGGGCAATTTACTAATATTTTTATACCCCCATAATAAACTCCTTTTTAATAAATAGTTAAATTAGCTTGAGGTAGATACAAATTTTGTCTTTGGTATCAATAGTATGAGAATCAATGTTTGATGGAAAAAGAAATTTATTTTGCAATGCAAACACTAACAACGAAAATATATATTGTGATTCAAATGATAAAATATTTAAATCTTTAAATATGTTTCTACACAAAACTTTATTGCCATATCCCAACATCGCTCTGATAGCCTTTCTTTGGAGAAAAAAAATATCAGAACTATGAGATGAGTTTCCCCAAAAGATGATACCATAGTATCATAGTGAAAGAAGGAATAATAGATTACCTTTAGAGCCGAAATAGATGTATAATATTTCATATTTCTAAGTATGTAACAAGCCTTACTTAATTTTCTTTTACAAGTAAATCAGTATGATTCTTCTATATTAAGGCACTAACAATTATAACTCCCAAGAATTTATTATTGAGGGTATTGTTGATAAACTTATTATTATGATTTATTGTAAATGCATCTGACATTATTGTCTTAGTTTTAAATTGAATACAATGTGTCTTATTAAAATTTAAAGATAATTTATTAGCTCTAAACCATCCATTTATGATTTCAATTGTTATAAGAATATTCCTGTAAAGATCATTTATATTAGAATGTGAAAATAAGATGCTAGCATCATCAGCAGAAATTATAGGTGTAGAAAATTTATTTAATATTTTAGGCAAGTCATTTTTATATAAGAGAGACAACAAAGATCCTAATATGGACCCTTGTGGCACTCCCTGTCTAACACTAAGCCAATCTGAAGATACTGTATTCACATCACTTTTATGTATTACTGTTTTAATATATCTGTTACTTAAATAAGATTCATAAAGTGCATAATCTTTCCCAGTGATACCATAAAATTTAAGTTTGAACAAGGTATCGTGATCTACACAGTCAAAGGCTTTCTCCAGATTACAAAAAACACCTGCCAGTAATTGTTTGTTGTTCATGGAATTTTAAAATCTCTGTAGTCAGTAGTCATAGAATCACATTACATTCCGCAGGTGTTCGTGAAGAGTTTGCTGAAAGAAAGGCGTATGGTATACTGCAGCACTACAGTAGAGGCAAGTTACGATTTACAAAGAGACCAGATCTGAATGTCAGGATTTCTTCAAGAGTTATTGACATGTTTTGAGTTTATTTCCAATTACATTGGATTAATTTTAGTGTGTTGCATCTCTATCCGTGAGATAACTCATATGTCCTACAGATAGTATTGCAAGAAAACATAAATTTTAAATGATATGGCTGTTGTGTACAGTCATGTGGTTAATTTTCTTTACCTTGGTACTAGTTGGAGGTAAGTGGTCAGCTTCATGCCCCAGCCACTTTACCCATTGGGTAGGAGGTTTGGTGGGCCACAGAGCCAGTTTTTATAACGTGGAGACCATTGACCCAACTGGGACTCGAAGTCTTATGCTTAAGTTGTCCAGCCTGTAGCCAGTCGCTATACCAACTATGCTATCCCTGCTCGTTTCATTACGGTTTGTAACCAAAAATGAAAATTTGGTTGTACGTTAAGGTAGCTGGAATTAAGCTTCAGATTCAGTGAACATAGCATAAAGTTGTTCTTTTCTAATTTAAAATTGTCACAGATCACAAATTTAACCCAGAAAAATTGAAGGCTTGGCTACTGTTTCCCATCATTTCTATTCCCTTTCACAGAAAAACAATTGAAATATTGTTTTTTAATCAAAAAAGTATTGTGTGCTATGAACTGTAACAACATAACACATCTAAAGTGTCACACGCTTCTGTTTGTACATGGAAGATAATCATGTACACCTCCTTTAGATCTGTTTGTAGCATGTCTGCCATGTTATGGAAGTCAGATGCACTGTACGCAAGAAGAGGCATTCTACTTGCTGAAATTGTGGGGGCGTGTGTAAGGATGTGCACAGACTTCGGCTTTTACTGAAGTTCGGTATACGGGAGTTAAGCAGCCAACTCCATGCAACAGAGGCATTAGGCTAGTAGTTGCTTAGACAGTCAAGAAATTCCCCATATTTTATGGAACCTCAAATGTTTGTTACTGTGTTCCCAGGAGCTCACTTAGTGGGGGGTGGAGTCCAACTGGGTCCACTCGGCACGGCGGCCACTGATTGGCCTATTGTAGCCTGCCCAGGTGATTATGATGGTGGAGAATTTGGTGGAATGAAGATTGGCAGGGGAAACCAAAGTTCTCGGAGAGAACCCACCCCAGCCCCACTTTGTCCACCACAAATCCCACTTGACCAGACATGGGATCGAACCCGGGCTGCCGTGGTGGGAAGCCAGTGACTAACTGCTTGAGCTATGGCATGGCCATTCCCAGGAGCTCACCGCCAGTCACAATCCTGACCCTGATGAATGAACCCAGTCCACACCCTCCAATTCTTCTACATTTTAATATCCTTCCATCTGTGTCTGGGTATTCCAAGTGGTCTCTTTCCTTCAAGTTTGTCAACCAGAACTTTGCTTGCATTTGTCTTCTCTCCTGTGTGTGCTGCATGCATTGCACACATCATTACCAGTGATATGATCATGTTAACTATATTTTGCCAGTAAAAATTGTGGAGCTCCTTATTATGCAGTTCTGTTCATACTCCTGTTACCTCCTCCCTCTTGGGGCCCAGATGTGCTCAGACACTCCAAGAATATGTTACTCTGTTAATCTGAGAGACCAAGTATCACCCACAAATTGTAACTTTGTGTATTTTAATTTTTAAATTTTTGAGGCATTGTTTAATAGAAGAGAAATTACCAAGTGTTTCTTCTTATTGCTATTCATAAATTCTACTTTCATGGACAACTCCATCTTGAATATCCAGTGCCCTTGTATTGTAGAAATTTTTCATTAAAAGAAAAGTTACAAATCTGAGTTATCAAGTTTCTTCTCAGCGTATATGAAATACTGTTGTTCGAGACCCATTGGCCAAGTTGAGAGTGGTATTGAAGGATTTCTCTTTGGGTTACAGCAGTTTCAGTAGATCTTGGATGCCATGCATTATCATAAGCTTAACAGGTCTTGAAACACTGATTGGTACTGCACACAGTTGAGTGTGACTAAGACGGGATTTTAATTGGTAATTGGATTTATTGAACTCGCACACAATTTGAGACTACACTTTGCAGTTCATTAGTGTCTACAGTCATGCATTTACTAGCCATTGCTTGGTAGCAGCTTTCAGCAGTGGACATTCCTCTTCCTGTGGGTTTCTGAACTGTCCCTGGCCTTAGCTACAAGCTTCTAACAGCAACAGTTCACAACTGACTGGACTGCAACATTCTTCTCACTAACTCACCAACCAAGTGACTGACTCCTCATTTGTCCTGCTTATAACATGTCGGCACAGACTCCACAGAAAACGCCATACCTTTATTGCTGTTTACGGGCCATTGTCTTGTTGTTTGTTTCACAGTCATTGCCTAGTAATGGGTCTGCATGTCTTNTGTCCTGCTTATAACATGTCGGCACAGACTCCACAGAAAACGCCATCCCTTTATTGCTGTTTACGGGCCATTGCCTAGTAATGGGTCTGCATGTCTCAATACTGTAACTTAGAAGAAACATTATCTTTAATATATTCTTGCAGGTGAACCACCTGATGATGATCTTTGCAGATTGAAACAGGTAGTTGGATTAAAATAAATGAACCTGAATATTAAAAATTTTAATGTCGGTTTGTAGAGACCACTAGGAAGACCAAGACATAGGTGGGTGAACAATATTAAAATGGATCTTAGCGAGATAGGATGGGATGGCATGGTTTGGATTGATCTGGCTCAGGATAGAGACCAGTCAAAGGCTCTTGTGAACATAGTAATGAACCTTTGGGTTCCATAAAATGCTAAGAAATTCTTGAGTAACTGCACAATTTTCGGCTTCTCAAGAAGAGCTCAGCTCCATGAGTGAACGAACGAATATTCTTGCAGGTTATTAGGACAGAAGTTACTACACAGTTGTAGTATCAGATAAACAGAAAGATATAATTTTTCCAGTCCATATAGACATTTAAGTTAAAGGTATTTTGGACTTTGTCATGTACAAGATAAATTTTCTTTGTTATGTTTGCGATAACTTCTTCACACTTAATGAGTGGCAGTTCCTTGCCTGAACAAGGTCTAAAGTATATTTTCATGTTATAATTTTAAACCTTGAATCCAAATAAATGTAAAAGTATTGAAATAACATACAGAGATGTTCTCTGAACTGTTCCCAGCACAACTGCCATGACATACTGAGTGGGGTGGCATAGCGGTAACACTTGACACTCATATTCCAGAGGTGCTCAGTCTGAAGCTTGACCAAGACACGAGGAATCCTTACTGAAGATTTTTTGTTTTTCCTCAGTCGCTCCATGCAAGTGCGAGGCTATTGTCTTGGCTAGGCTTTACAGTTCATCAACCCCCCCATTTCGTTCTGGCTACGGACACTGTAGTACAGTAACCCATATATACATGGGCACAGGACATGTGTCCTTTCATTCTTCAGTTTATGATAATAGACTATGACCATTTTAGCCTACTATCATAATTTAAAAAAAAAGTAAAAGTGGGTTATGAGATCACCTCGCTGTCTGTGTGTCCCCGCGTAACAAGTTTTTTTTTTTTTTAAGAGAACGTGTTTTGTTTTCCAGGAGAACTTCTTTACCATGTTGTTGCCTAATAACAGCCATCTCTTCTGGTTCCACTGTTCCAGCATTCAGGCATGATGTCATGTGGACATTTTTTCTATGCAGTCCATGTCATATCAAATACTTAGTATGTAGTGAAATGAAAGTAGGCAATTACTTCTTCCCAGAACTTCTTATCACTTGTTAGAAAGATCTCTGCTTATGGAAGCAGCATGTTCCTGTAGGACATCTGTACTCGTCCATTAGACTAGGGAGTTCATTAAGCCAGAATTTCCATTTTATAGTCTGAAGTATTGCTCGTTTGTTTCAGCTCGCTCGCCAAAGTTTCTGCCGAGGATTGAGAGCATTTTCAACTGCTGCAACAGAAGCAAAGCCTTCAAGTGGTGTTTGCTTCGGTACGTGAACATTTCTAAACATGTTGGAAGCATGGTTACTCAGCAGAGATATCCTACATGTACCTAGTTAATACAGCAGAAATCAAACATCAAGATTAATGCAAATATTATGTTTTTGGACAGTATCATTCATCCTGTTCTTATCTAAACAGGACAATGGTTAATGTCTGGAAGCATAATATTTGTACTAACATACCTTCATCACAGACTTTTAGATCTTAGTGAGATTAATATTATTGATTGTCTGGGATGTGACACCATGTAGTGCAGTAGAAAGGAGGGATAGTTCTACCCTGAAGATGAAGGTAGTAGATTCCTTTGAAACACTGGTACCGCTCTACCAGACTACACATAGTGTTAGATCCTAGAAAACAGCAGCAGTCTTCAAGATATCATTTGCTGTTCAAATTTTTTGTGTCTGCAGAGAAATCAAAGAAGGGAACAGGAAGGAATTTTAGTGAATAGATTCAGACATCTTTTTTGCTTGTTAGTCTTGACTTGTCACTCATGGAGGAGCCCTGCTTATGTATAAATAACTTTATGTATCCCTGTTCAGGCACAGCGGTGTGCAGTATATGGTGTTTATACGGTTTCAGAGCTCAGCGAAGAACAGAAAGAGGTTCAAGAACTTGCCAGGAAGTTCACAAGAGATGAAATCATACCCAAAGCAGCAGAATATGATCGTACAATGGAGTACCCATGGGATATAGTGAAGAAGGCATGGGCGGTGGGCCTCACCAACACCCACATTCCAAAACATTGTGGTGAGAAAATCATTTGAAGTTGCAGACAAGTAGTAGCTTATGTTCCCTATCTTCCCACAGAAATTACTTTAAAAGGAAATTCTGACTTAGATCAGTTCTGAAATACAAGCCATTAAGATTTAAATTTTTAAAGAATCTCAGGATGTCCTGTCATGTGCTTTTTGTGACTGTGTACAGCATGTTCATGTTTTGCCACTCTCAGAAAATTGTTTCCTTTATTGACAGTAGCTGAGTCATTATAGTAAGTAGGATAATGCTGGCGAGTTTGGCAATTTGGGTTTGGTTCCCAGCAGGAGGAGAGATTTTTTTGACCTCCAGAATGGCTGGACCAGCTCTGTGGCCCACCAAGTCTCCTGTCTGTTGGGTACCGGGGTTCTTTCCCCAGGGGTAAAGTGTCCAGGGATTGAGGCTGACCATTTGAAATACGTGCACCTATATGCTTACTGTTCATGACAACTTCTGCTGTACATTTTATTTATAACTATGAAGTGACATTAGATCTGTTGCTTGAGAAATGCCAACCACAGAATATTTTTCTGTAACTGTAATTTGAATGTTTTTGTAACATACTTATTTTTTATGGTGAGGAGTTGTTACCCCCACACCTATCACCCAAGCTGGAGGCGAACCCCTTGTCAGTTGTCTGCAACTGCTTATTCAATATATTACAGCTGCACTTCATATCTGGAGGCCATCCTCTGTCCACAACCTAAGGACGGGCCATGTCATGGTGACACCAGAACCTATTGTCTTCTTTCCTGTCTTCTGTCTAAAAATGTAAAAATTAGGCTATACAATACTGTAATTTTGCCTGTGGTTCTGTATGGATGTGAAGCTTGGTCTCTGATACAAGGGGGGAACAGACTGAGGGTGTTTGAGGACAGGGTGCTGAGGGGAATATTTGGACCAAAGAGAGAGGAAGTGACGGGAGGTTGGAAAAAACTGCATAATGGGTAGCTTCATAAATTGTACTCTTGGCCAAGTATAATTGGAATGATTAAGTCAAGGAGGATGAGATTGGCAGGTCATGTGGCACGAATAGGTGCGAAGCGGAATGCCTGTAGGATATTGGTAGGAAAGCAGAAAGATCAAGATATAGGTTGGTGGATAATATTAAAGCAGATCTTATAGGATAGGGTGATATGGATTGTATTGACCTGGCTCAGGATAGGGACAGGTGGAGGGCTCTTGTGAACACGGTAATGAACCTTCAGGTTCCATGAAATGCTGGGAAATGCTTGAGTAGCTGCACAACTGGCCACTTCTCAAGAAGGGCTCAGCTCCATGAAGTTGGTTAGTTNGGTTCCATGAAATGCTGGGAAATTCTTGAGTAGCTGCACAACTGGCCACTTCTCAAGAAGTTGGTTAGTAATTTTAGTATTCCATTGATACAACAGCTGCTGATAATTGCTGCTGTTGAATTCATACATCTTCCGACGTTGCAGGAGGTGTCGAGATGGGTGTTTTTGAAGGCTGCCTGATTGCTGAAGAACTGGCCTATGGATGTTCTGGTATAAAGACTGCAATTGAAGGTTCTGGTCTGGGTGTAAGTACTGCTGCGTTAACCTAGATTGCTGCAGAAGGCTCCTTTAACTGAACTTACTAGGCTCATATGCAGAAGGTATTCAGTTTGAATCTTGGCTGGGACATCAGCTATTCTGTCTCATGTTTCTATTGATTTTCCTTACACCCTGTAGGCAAATGATCGGGTTTCCTTGCAAGTCTTCTGGTTTGTCAGTCATCTGCAATCCTACCGTTTGGTGCCGTATAGTCTGCCTAGTGACAGCACCATAAAATAGCCCACAAAGTAAATGCCATGTTGGAATTTTAAAGAGTATCTAATATATCATGCATTGACCATTTACTGGGAAGCCCCATAATTTGTTACATAAACTTTCATGTTATTTAGTTCCCTAACTTCCTCCAGCCTTACATGTTATCACATTATATGCCACAGCTGATATGAACAGCATGGACAGTCAGTCATAAACTGCCTCCTCCATGTGGTGTAGTGCTTAATTAGTTAAGCAGAACCGCGCCATAGCTCAAGCGGTTAGTCACTGACTTCCCACCGCGACGGCCCGGGTTCGATCCCGGGTCTGGTCAAGTGGGATTTGTGGTGGACAAAGTGGCGCTGGGGCAGGTTTTCTCAGAGTACTTCGGTTTCCCCTGCCAATCTTCATTTCACCAATTGCTCCACAATCACCCTCACCTATCATCTGGGGCTGGTACAATAGGCCAGAAGTATCCGCAGTACAAGGGACTTAGTCCCACCCCACTAACAATAAAAAAATAGTTAAGCACAGGGACAACCTTATAGATATTTCTTAATGTAGATGCTTGTAGAAACATTATTGTTACATTTGATTTGTTTGATTCTGGTCCGTCATACTAACAATTACAAATACAAATCACTCCATCCAATGTGACATATAAGTTTCACTACCTATTGTGATAGTAGTTTCCAGCTTGTAATGATGTTCCCTCCGAAGATGGTCCATAAGGACCAAAACATGTAAGGGTTGATAGGTTTTCATGTAGTAAAACTTATATGTCACATTGGATGGAGTGATTTGTATTTGTTATTATTGTTACATTTCACAGCAAACACCTGTCATCATAGCTGGAAATAAGGAACAACAGAAGAAATACTTGGGACGGCTGATAGAGGAGCCACTAGTTACCGTAAGTATATATCATATCTACAGAATCAGGATTCAAAAACAAAACAAAAGTCAGTGATTAGTATCAAAGAATTTTGTGTCCATAAATCGTTTTTCTTCAAATGAAAACTGGCATTGTATGTATTTTCAATTTTACAGGCTTATTGTGTCACAGAACCGGGAGCGGGATCAGATGTGAACGGGGTGAAAACACGAGCAGAGAAGAAGGGAGATGACTACATCCTAAATGGCCAGAAGATGTGGATTACAAATGGAGGCGTTGCAAACTGGTTAGTAGTTCTGAAGACCTGTTGTGTTGCGTTACATCTGCAGTGTTTTAGAGGCTCGTCTTCAGGTGAAAAAACAGAAGCAGTACATGCATAAGTAGCCTTGAATTTCAGCAATTCATAGGTATAATTTTTTCCAATTACAGCACACAGATATCTTTACATGTGTCTTTATATCGTCGTGTGACAGAGTGACTACAGATGGGGTTTGGAGTGGTGATATGATTTACTGAACACTTATAGAACGTAACTACAAATAGCTACGACAGTCTCACTGAGTTACGCACTCCAAATATCACTGTAACTGCAGCACACACAAAGTTTTCTCAGTCTTTACTAGCTGTTTCCCGGTGATGAATACTAATGTTGCCCTCTGCTTATGTCCTTACTGTCTGGCACATATCCCACAACTGAACTAAGCTCTAAACTTCGTCCCCCTTATAACCACTCGGCATGAACCAACAGAAGACACAGCTCTTCTGTTAAATGTTGACCCTTGCAGGGTAGAGGTAAGAAGGTAAAGCTATTCCTGTAACAGTCCATGAAGGCTCATAAGGTTATAAGACACTGAGGCTCCCACCTTTCCTAGACAGTCTGCTCACAGATGACAGGTTGTCAGCCTGGGTACAATTCTTTAGTGTGTGAACTGATATATGCATTAGACAAACCCATTCCTTGTCTTCATACATCTAAGTAAATGTGATGTGTGTTTATGTAATCATGTAATAGAGGTACAGTCTTTTCTTCAGGTGCCACAAAAGATGGAGGATTTCTTTAGTAGCTTGGTGACTAGCTTCTCAACAAGAATTCTGCTACATGGAGTTGGGAGTTAGCTTGCTGGGTAATCAGATTCTGACATGGTGCCTGAGGGAATTACAGAAGAGATCTCACTCATGATAATATGTTTTCCACCTTCCGGTACAAGTCAGGTGCACTGCCACAAGCATGCACAGTCTCTTCTTCTTGCATCAAAGTGAATTATGTCCATTTCTCAGGTACTTCGTACTGGCTCGAACAAACCCTGACCCAAAGTGTCCGGCAAATAAAGCGTTTAGTGGCTTCATTGTGGACCGCGACACACCTGGAATCACACCAGGAAGGAAGGTAAGCAGAACGATCACAGAAACTGTGGATAAGCATTACTTGTAAGCCAAACTGCAACTGGTTTACTTGAATCAAAAAGCATTCTTGCACAGAAACTGATTTTTATACAGTTAATGAGGGGACGAAGTGTGCATACAAACTTAGAGACAGGCCAGGAGAATAATTTTTGAAAATAGTTTCTCTTCTTTTATTCTGATATTTTTCTGTGTATTCCTCTTTCAATTTTAAATGTTTTTAAGAGGGGGGGCAGATGTTCGACTTGCACTCTCTCTCTCCTGCCAGCATCAACATCTTCACTATAATAACTCTTGATGCAGAGTGGTATGTTGGGTAAACTTGTGCTAGCTCACTGCACCAGACCTTCAGAAATATATTCTGGCTGTCTTGCTTTTGTGAATTGTAGCAGAAACTCATTTCAGGCGTTGTGTACATTTTGTACCCAAATTCAGGATACCCTATCATTTAACATTGAATTTAAAATTTCTTCAATTTCAGGAAATTAACATGGGACAACGCTGCTCTGATACGAGGGGCATTACGTTTGAAGATGTCCGTGTTCCAAAAGCAAATCTTCTCCTTGGTGAGGGAGCAGGTTTCAAAATCGCAATGGGGGCCTTTGACAAGACGCGGCCACCTGTAAGTCATATGACAGACATTGCTCTGCAGAGTGTATGTGTTACTGTTTTGCTTCATGACAAATTTGGAACTTTAATGTGTTAGTTTCTGTGCTTCAGGTTGCTTCAGGAGCAACAGGAGTAGCTCGTCGGGCCCTGGATGAAGCAACAAAGTATTCTTTGGAAAGGAAGACGTTCGGTGTTCCAATTGCAAATCATCAGGCAAGTTGAGTAATAATGATAGCGTACTGGTGTGTCAGACCTGTCGTAGAGGCTGGAGTATCCAGAATGTAGGCTTGGATCATCAGCTGTTGACATTATCATTGTCTTGGCATTGTTGCAAACCAAATAAATTTTAGTGCTTTTGTATACCATTTTAAGACTTATAGCTTGTATGTCTTTGTCCTGAGTTTTGTTACATGGATTTCACAGTCTCACTGATATGCCTCTGTATAATGTGGCATTTCTATAGTTTATCTTGCCTTGAGTAGGCAACCTTCCAGAAGAAAAATCCCCTGTCTTCAGTGAGATTTCTTGGGATGGAGGTTTTGGTTCTCATCATCTTGTGAAATGACAGCTGAAAGCTGGAATAGTGGAATGAATAGATACGGCCATTGCTAGTCAACAGCATGGGAAACAGGTGTCCAGGGCAGTGAATTAGCATACAGCAATAGAAGACCTATTTGAAGTAATGTTCTCTTTGTGGGTCGTGCTGAGGCTGTATAAAGAGGACCAAAGGGGTTTGGCAGTTAGCAGGCAGTCATGTGTTGTTAGCAGCCATTACCAGGCATTACTAGTGAGCAAACAGAAGACTTTATGTGTGTTAAGTCAGTGACACTGTGTCAATCATTTGCAGTTATATGAGATATATATATATTCTAAATAAACTGAAACCTCAGGATCGTCCGTAGCCAGATTGCGCTTAGCACTGACAACTGATTCTGTGTTCCTAGGCTGTTGCATTCATGCTGGCTGACATGGCAATAAGCATCGAGACTGCACGTCTTGCATATATGATGGCAGCTTGGCAGACAGACAACGGCATAAGGAATTCATACTTTTCATCTATCGCAAAGGCACACGCGGCCGATATTGCTAACAAGTGTGTTTCAGATGCTGTTCAGGTAGGAAAGTGCAACACAACACAGGCACTCTGAGCTGGGTGTTCAGGAGTACTTTGTATCTGCTTGTTAACTTCTTTGTAGAAGGAATTTGAAGTTTTTATTCAGTTATTATTCAGCTTGGAGCTCTAATAGCTCCATTGATATAGCAACCAGGATATGGGCTGGACAACTGAGGAATTGAGGTTCGATTCCTGGCTGCAGTAAGTTTTGTCTCTTCATAGTGTCCAGACTGCCTGTGGACACTGCTTATACCAGGCTACAACACAGCATCACATGCCAAGCATAGTAATCTTCATAATCATTGCTGTGAGATCATCGAACTCGAACTCCTACTTCCCTCCCCTTAGTGTCTGTTACTTAAAAATATGTGATTTCAAAGTTGTTTTGATGTTACTGTGTGTAGTTCTCATTGCATTGTAGATATTTGGAGGAGCTGGCTTCAATAGCGAATATCCTGTGGAGAAGCTAATGAGAGATGCCAAGATATACCAGATTTATGAAGGAACGTCCCAGATTCAGCGACTTGTAATATCACGACAGCTCATAGAAAGTTTTAAACAGAGGGCCTGAAAACAATTGTGCCCCTTCCCTGATTTCTGAATTGCACATTTCTTTGTTTGTTCATGTTTGGGCCAAATATGAATTTAACCTTTTAAAGCACAGTGGTTCATGTTGGCAGTGTATTCATATGTTTTGTATCTTCCTAAGAATAAGCAGTGATTATTGGCCGAAATCATTCCGTCCTACGTTATGTCACATTCCAGAAACCAATGATACTTAAATCCTATGGTGCAGGGTCCAACCATAAGAACAACTCTACATTTTGCCCAACCAGATTGAGCTGTGTCACTGTACAGACTTATTTTTATACCAAATATTATTACTGTAATGTTAGAGTATTTTTTTCTTGTATTTTCAGATATGGTAACTGAATTTTGTACATACAAGTTGTTGGAATGGTTCACTGTTTTATAATAAAACACTTACTTTTTAATCATGTACACACAAAGTGATATGTAACCATCTCAAAATAACTAAACCATTAATAGTGGACATTTGCCCTGCCTAAGTACTGATGAAGGTTTCATTTAAATTAAAGGGGACTCACAATATGAATCTGTATTTGTCTGTTTCCACTCAATTGCACTGAGAAATATCTGCAACAGGCCATGCAATTCGGGCATTTGATTGCTGGTTTCCTATCATAACACACCAGGAGATTCAATGTAGGATTTGTGGTCCGAGAAGTGGCATTGGCACGGACTGTTCTCCAAGTATTTGCTTTGCCTGAGAATCACCGTTCCACCGATGCCCCATACTGATCTGTCATCAGGGACTGATACAGTAGTCCCATTTGAGGCCAAAGTACCGAGGGACTCATCCCACTAAGTATAACTTTGTATCGTAGCATCCTCCAAATCACTTATTTATTCCTGTTAGTTATTAGCCATCTTACATGCAACTTGCTTTCTAAAATCTTCAAACGTTTTAAGCGTTAAAATCTCTTCTTCATCACTGGTGTATGCACACTACATATTTTGACCAACACTGATCACCCTCAGGTGTCTCTAAAATTGCTGATGAAACTGTTGTGCTCATGTAACTTCAATTTTTGGGATATGGCCTTGTCTCCGTGCATCTATATGTCCTATGGTGGTTGGTACACTACAGCTACACATGACAATAAGAGGGACTACCAACGACCATAGGACATGGATGCATAGACAACGGCATATCCCAAAAATTGAAATTAGATTAGCACAGCAGTTTTAGACACCTTAAGATGATCAGTGTTGGTAAAAATATGTAGTGTGCATACACCAGTGATGAAGAAGAGATATTAATATTAATGTTTAAAACTTTTTTAAGTTTTTAAAAAGCAAGTTGCATGTGAGATGGCTAATAACCCAGTAATTTTCATTTACTGATTGTCTTTTGCAGTCCAGTACACCCTTCTTGTTTAGTAACGGTTGTGTAATTTCAGTACGAATATGTTAAATTTATAAATATTTAGTTTGGAGGATAGAACGCTAGGCATAATTAAGAGATGAAGTGGCATAATGTCCTTCAAATATGTGCAGAAAAATTATGTCACTAAGTCAGAATCACTTCCCAGTTGCCTCTGGACACACACAACCTCATACATCTGGAGCCCACCCAGCATCCTATCCAATGAGTAATGGGGGTTCTTTCACCAGGGAGTGAAGCTGACCATTCATCTCCAACTAATGCCGAGGTCAATGAAACGTGGAGCTATACATCCACTGCCCCATACGTCTTCATGTTATAGTGCTTACTTAGTTAAGCACAGGAACAAATCTACTTTTTTTTACTTTATGTATTTTATTCTTAAATATTTTTAGATGACAGTGTAGCCAAACACTGTGATTTTAGTCTGCAGGAAAACTATACCGACCGAGCAACCGCTGCTTGTCAGCAAAGTTAGTGCCAACTCTAGTGGATAGAGGGTGTCATGTGGTCAGCGCAACAAATCCCCACGGCCGTTAATTTCGGTTTTCTAGACTGGAGTCGCTATCTCCTTGAAACAGCTCCTCAGATATCCTCATGAGGCTGAGTGGACCCCGTTCCAGACCCACTACTTCTCAGAAAATCTGGCCGGGAATCGAACCCCAGACCTCTGGATGTGTAGCCAGGAACTCTGACCACTAGACCACAGAGGTGGTCAGCCAAACACTTTATATTAATAATAAGGAAATAATAGAATTGAACAGTCACTGATGTCATATTATGTGGCTTCCTAAGTAGATTCAGTGGAAAATCACTGAGTAGTGTGGGTGTGTGTTCAGGAGGAGGAGGAGGAGGTGGAAGCACGTGATTGCAGTTCTAGAGAAGGGGATTGAACTGGCTGAAACAAATCAATAGCATTGAATTTTAAATTTATGGTTGTCCTGACTGAATCACTGGAGGATTTCCTCAGCCCATTGAGGCAGATGCCAGGATTAGGCCTGAGATACATCCTTCCCAGTTCTTACCCACAGATCGTACTGCCACTTGCTGCCGTATAGTCTGACCCACTGGGCAGCGGCATTGAATAAGTTAATGGAGTAAGTGACATGGTATAAAGCAGGATAATGAGATGCATAGTTGACTGTTTACAAGTATAAGTAACCACAATCAGTACATCTAATTACTGTATTTACTAATACAAATATAGTTTATAAATGTTCTATATACAAGTGACTACTTGTTAGGCAGAGAAAGCACTTCACATCTGTTGAAACAATACATATGCCTGTAAATGCAGAAAACTTTTATTGCTGTGTTCATTAGAAGATTATGGAGTTTCAGGATGTGATCCAAGTTATCTGGTTTGTAGGTACCAGTGTACACCATCTTCAGTTCTACTCCAAAATTGATGCAACAGGCTGGTCCAAAACATTGGCTTCAGTCACATCTCAAAACACTGTAACTTTCATTTTCACTGCAATGAAAATCTCAAGCCCCACAAATTTAACTAGTGCACATTTTTAAGTTTGTAATTTCACAGAATTACTGGGGTTTTGGACTTTTCCCATCGTCCGGAATTTTAGGTAATACAGAACATAATGTTTCAGAAACTGGATCTGTTTCCGTCTTCGGGTGAGAAGGAAGTCACCTACTCAGTTGCACCCCTCAGAAAGTGCTAATCTCAATCACTGGACAACTGTCAGATTTAAGCAGCTATTTCAACATATAGGACTAGGCTAGGTCAGTGAAATAGCTGGGTAAATCTGACAGTTGTCCAGTGATTGAGATTAGCACTTTCTGAGGGGTGCAACAGTAGGTGTCTTCATTTTGCACCTGAAGATGGAAACAGATCCAGTTTCTGAAACGTTGTGTCCTCTATTACCTAAAATTCCGGACAATGGAAAAGTCCGAAACCCCAGTAATTCTGTATGTCATCCATCATCGTTAGAACCCTTTAGAATCTATTTGTAATTTCAGCTGAGTCCTGATTGTGTTTATGTTAGTGAATGGTGCAGATCCTCCCTTTGGGCTACTAGGAGAGTTATGCTAGCGGGAGTGTCAGCTCCTGGTAGGGGCCAGATGTAAAGCAGCCCATAGTCATCCCAGTGTTACCTTCAGTAACAGTGTATGTCACGGAACCTCACGATATATGGGCATCTGTTGTAAAGGAGACAAAGGTACTTGGAGGGCCTTAGCGTCAAGGAGTGAATAGGATGATTCCTATTTTTCTGAGATTTGAGATTCTCGTGGTAGTGACCCAAAACTCCGAGATATGATGATGTGTAGTCTGGTAGATGGTTACCAATATTTTGGAGGAAATCGGCCCTAAGCAGTTGTTCCTCTTAAATGTTGGCCTACAAAACTCTTCTGCTTCACATCACAGACGGCACTAGTCTTCAAATCTATTTTTATTTGTGAAAGTCCATTTTCCTCCACTGATCCCATGACTTGTATTACACTTCTTTGGAATCTGTTTGCACATTTGGTATCACATAACATACAAATGCACTAAATTGCTGTTAATTGCACAAGTGTTAAAAGAAGTTACTCTTTATAATATCCAGGTTTAAACCTACTGCTGCGATATTTGACTGAAATCGAATAAGCATCCATTACCATAGAGTGCAACATTCAGCTTTGGTCCACGTCAAGAGATAGTCATCTCCTTTTTCAGCGTCTTTCGTCTTCATTCATTGGGAACTAAAAAATGCATTTTGTTGCATTTATCTTCAAATTTTTACTGTATAATTGCATTATTTTAGGAAAAGTGGTGAGGAAATAATTCACAGTGGAAGAGTTAAGAACATAAACGAATTGAGCGGTATCACTCCTGCTTTGTATTCAGAAGGACCAAAGTTCTGTTCTCAGGCTTGAGATCAGCTATCCTGAGGTCTTTTTGAGGTTTCTCAAAGTGTACCATGGCTATTTTGTTCCACTTCGCTTCTAATTCATTATTTGCTAATCGTTTGACCCTATTTAGTCTAATTTACCAGTACTGAAAGCATCACTAATTAAACCATGAATAAATAAACAACCTAAGCAGTATTATCAATTGTATCCTTTATCATCACATTTGTAAAGCTGTTACTATCACTAATTCAGTCACAAGATGAATCATTTTAGATTTTATTTAAGATGTTGAAATGGTAACTTATATATGGTGGCATGAGCTTCCAGCATTAGGGATATCTTAAAGTGTTGTATGAAGCAGTTCATAGGAGAGATATTGATGAAATATCAGCTAGCCCTGACCACAGTGACTAATTAAAATGGGGCATCATTTCATGTAACTTCTAAGACGGTAGTTGTCGCTATTTTGCAGACCAAATATTGCAGTTGCCTATCTTAAAGCCTCCATGAACTGAGCAGAACGTACGGAGAACGTCCACAGAACCATTCCTGGTAACATGAGACCATTCTGTGCTGAATTCTTGGATCCTGAAAAGAAAAATTTGTTAGTACAGTTCCTTTCATACAAATGGAAACAACGTGATGGAGTTAATGTCTTCTGTATAACAGTTCTTCCTATACATAATTGTTAGTGTTTGCAGTGATACTACAACCATCTTAGCCACAATTCATCAGGGGTACATGGTTCATAGTGATTCTTCCCATGCTGAAATCAGGTGACCAAGGGGGCCAGGCAGTAGGAAATCCACTATTTTACTTTGTGCCTGTTGTCAGCACTATAAGCAGCCAAAAGCATAACCTCACAAACGAAATACTTCCTTTATCCACAGTACAAGTACACTGTTTCAGAATATTATCATTCCATTTGATCTGTACTCATTGAGAGATATGATTGTCCAGAAGCGTGATCTGTGTTAGAAAGATTCTGTATTTGCTGAGTATCACCTGCACTCAGTGTGTCTTCAGCTCCAAATGCAGGTGATTTGCCTTGCTCCAGCCATATGGCCACACTTCCGCTGCTGATATTGTATAGCCCCATAACAGAGGCCACACACTTAAGCCGCAACTCTCCTCTTGTTGAGAAGTCTGACTTCTTCAGTGTTGTTCTTAACATAGCACCTCCCTCCCAAGTTGTCACTACATCCTGTGATAGCTGGAACAACAGATGAGAGATCACTAGTTATTTAATTCTGATGAATTGACTGCCCAGGTTATTTTAACACTAAATTAAATGAAGGCATGATAACATGGCCTGGGTTCGATTCCAGGTCGGGTCAAGTGGGCTTTCTGGTGGACAAAGTGGCAGTGGGAAGGGTTTTCTCAGAGTACTTCGGTTTCCCCTGCCAATTTTCATTCCAACAAATTCTCCATCATAATCACCCGGGGCTGGCTACAATAGGCCAATGAGTGGCCGCCGTGCCGAGTGGACCCATGTCAGTATCCCATATCTGCAGGTCAATGTAGCAATAACAATCTAGACTCATATGCAAGAGGTTTGCATCTCAGCCAAGATGGGTTTTCGTGATTTTCTCAGTCCCTTCAGGCATACTCTGGGATGGTGTATCAATATGGCCACAACTGCTTCCTTCCAAATCCTTTCTAATTGCTTCCTTCCAAATCCTTTCTAATTAGTTATCCACCAATCAGCCTCTCATTTGATGATGTATAGCTTAAGATACTGACAGAATAAAAAAAAAATGAAATTTGCCTTTACTCATAGCAGCTGTGCCTGTGATAGACTTACTGCATGATTGTTGATGTAGAATGTGAGGGTTGGTGGTGATTTTGATGCCTGTGACGTACAGTTCACTGTCAGCTGCTCGCCTTCTCTGTAGCTTGTGTTCATCACAGTCATCACAGGTCGGGAATCAGGGAACTCTGGAACCGTTACAGCCAATTTATAAAGTTAGAGGAATGATTTATTTCATGCCCTTGTATTTTGTTCTGTCATGGAGAGGTGTCAAATGTGTAAGTACATAATAGCTATAATGGAATGAGAACAAAATGATATATGCGCATAGTTCAGCTATGTTCGTGTCATTGAGTATCTCCGTTATACAGAGTGTAAATAAATATATATATTACAACCCTCTGTGGTAGATAGATGGGTTGAATCTGATCATATTTTCTTAACATGCCAACGTCCAGAAACGCTTTCTTTTGGCACTAAGGGCCACAAAAATTTCTGAGAAGATTCATAAGTTTTAGGGGATGTTATTGTTCTACATTATAGAAGTTGCTCAAAATGGTAGCCGCTGACTTCATTGCATGTTCTGCACCGCCTGGCTATGTTATGCTGAACTATTTGAAAGATTCCTGGCATTTCCTGAATGTTTCTAGTTGCTACTGCAATTCTTGCCACAAGATCATGTGTCTTCATTGGTGTCTCATACACCAGGCTTTGCATGTACCCCCAGAGAAGGAAATCCAGTGGAGTCAAGTCAGAGGATCGAGGGGGCCAGGTTATTGGGCCCCCATGTCCAATCCATCTGTTGCCAAATTCTTCATCCACATACGGACAAAATTAGTGCAGTGTGCCGGGGCACAATTATGCTGGAACCACATTTCACAGCGAACTTCCAAAGGCACCGCTTCCAGCAGCTTGGGTAAGGTCTCTTGGAGATATGTTAGGTAAATGTTACCAGTAAGCCGCAGAGGTAAGAGGTAAGAGGTAAGGGCGTCCTCCACATTTCAGAGGCCCTAGCGTGTAAACAAAGCATTTCCAGACATGGGTGTATTAACAAAATACAGATTGAACAAATCTACCACAGAGCACTGTAACATAGATACAATTGGGTGGACAAAATAATGGAAACGCTAAGAAATTGATGAGGAACCGGTATAGCGACTGACTACAGGCTGGATGACCTAGCGGTCAGAGTTCGAGTCCCGTTAGGGTCAAGAATTTTCTCTTCTCCATGTCATCCAGACCTGCTCTGCGGTCCACCCAACATCCTGTCCTATAGGTACGGGGGTAAAGTGGCCACTCACCTCCAGCTAATGCCGAGGTCAAGTAAATGTGGATCTACATCCACTCCCCCATACGCCTTCATGGCGTATTGCTTAATTAGCTGAGCACAGGGACAACTTCAAATTTTACCAAAGAAATGGAGGAATATAATTTGTATTGGCAACATTGAAAGAACTTCAGTTGGCAAGACTGGACGTTCTTCTGTTTGTTTACACTCTGTCGTGTCGTTAGATTAGTGATCGTTAGTGATTGTGTTAAGTGACGATATGTGTGAAAGAAACAGATAATTGGAGATTTGTCCGATTCTGAAGGAGGTTAGATTGTTGGTGTGCGTTTAGCTGGAGCATCTGTGACAAAAACTGCCATATTGGGTGCATCGAGAGCGACAGTTTCTAAGGTTATGTCGGCATGCACGAATCGTGGGAGGACAATAACAGCGAAGAGGAACAGTGGCGAAAATCAACTTTGACAGAGATCGTCGTACATGGAGAAGGAATGTGTCGAAAATTCACAGAATTAATGCAGCGCAGGTTACAGGAGAACTGTATATTCGTCTTGAAGACCCTGTTTCCACATAAACTGTCTGGCGTGAGCTTCACAAATCCAGCACCCACGGTAAGGCTGCAATTGCTAAACCTCTAATTACTGAAAGTAATGTTCAGATTCGTAAACGATGGTGTCACGACCATAATACCTGGACATCAGACGACTGGAAACGCGTGCGTGATATGGTCAGATGTGTACGTATCTTTAGGCACTGTGTTTTTCATTTTCCTCTTATTATTCCTCCCCACAACACTGTCTCACAGATGAAAATCTAATCTGATATTGTATATGTCCACATCACACAATGATTCACCCACATCCATTCAGTAAAAGTCTCCTTTACTGATGTTCATAAAATATAATTTTTCATCTTCCCTCCACACCATTGAACAGATGATATAATTTGATATTTTGGTTGTCCACTCAACACTGCATCATCACTCAAAAATTCACTCGCACTCAGAATTACTTCACTCTTTTTAATTAAAAGTATATTTTCTTGTTCCTCCCACACCTTTCAGCAAATGCTGATGGAGTTTTATATTGTTCACGTCCATCACGAATGCATTTCAATGCTATGATTAATGCAACGGAGTGCTTCTACCTGGTTCTGAACTGGAGTCTCTATGTAATGTCTACTGGAATGCCTTTCTAAGATTCTGTCTATCTTTCAACTAGAGTCACTGGCTGGTTCTGAGCTCAAACCACTGCTTTATTCTGAAGTATACTGTGTACCTAGTTCTGAACTAGAGTGTCTACCTAATTCTGAACTGGCACGTTTGTGTGATATTGATAAGGAGCTGTCACTTAGTTCTGAATCCCCCCCCACCAGGTTTTTGTCAGTTGCTGGGCCCTGTGAAAGCTCCCACATGTTAAACCGCTGCTTCCCTCCTTACCTAATACAGTGAGTTCATCTTCGATGCATTTCGTAGTAAACAAAGGAGCATCAGCTGATACTTCACAGCGAAATTTTCCTGACAGGTGGAGGGGTATGTTCTTCAGTGTCACCTGGTTTGCATTTGATGCTGACATCTGTGAAATATCAAGACAAATTAGATGAGTCATGATCCTATATACAGTAATAGACATTTTCTTATAATCTGCATTTCTGCAGGATAACATCAAAATTTTGCTCTGGTACTGACTAATATTCTGCATCAGGGCCAGTGGCGATAAAACCATCCCCGAAATCTGCATACAGTGAGTCTCACCAGCCTCCAGAAGTTCCCATTCATTTCTGGTCATGAACACCCAACAACCGAGATATCGGCAAGCGAGCCACAGCTATTGCCCTCCCACCATGAGAGCAACACAGTATTAAGCTTCCAGAGGAACACTTAGGCTAATTGCCTCCACTTTAATTTGCATTGGAAATTTAACTTAAAATTGTTAACTTTAAATGACTTAGGGGCTGGAGTTCGAGTCCCGGTAGGGTCAAGAATTTTCTGTTCTCCACAGCATCCACCCCAGCTCTGGGGTCCACCCAACCTCCTACCTCATGGGTACTCGGGGCTCTTTCTCTGGGGGTAAAACAACTTGCGCATGAAGCTGACCACTCACCTCCAGCTAGTGCCGAGGTCAAGAAAATGTGGATCTGTACATCCACCTCCCCATACGCCTTCATGGCATAGTGCTTAGTTAGTTAAGCACCGGGACAGCTTTACCTTTTTACCTTTTTGAATTAATTTTACATGAGTCACATCAGTCGTTGTGCCTTATATCGATAATTAAGCGCTAAGAACCGTCAAATGTAACAGTTACTAATTATGAACTTTATTTATTGGGTAAAATATGCCTTAAATGTTTCAGCCCCATAGACTTAACATTTAGTAGGGATGAGTACAGAAACATGCTTCTCCACGACATGGTTGGACGGAAGGGCTGATAACCTTGCTCTATGGGAAAAAATTATTGTTTCACAATCCAAAGAATGAAAAGTGGGTGGCCTAATTCAGTAGACAAATTTTGCAGAATTTTATAAGGAAGGCTGTGTCTTTTCTTTTTATTTAATTTGCGTATTGGGGGTGGAGTCCAACTGGGTCCACTCGGCACATCGGCCACTGATTGGCCTATTGTAGCCTGCCCCGGGTGATTATGATGATGGAGAATTTGGTGAATGAAGATTGGCAGAGGAAACCGAAGTACTTGGAGAAAACCTGCCCCAACGCCACTTTGTCCGCCACAAATCCCACTTGACCAGACCCTGGATTAAACCCGAGCCGCCGCGGTGGGAAGCCAGAGACTAACCGCTTGGGCTATGGCTTAGTCATTTTATAATTAAAAGCATAGGGGGTCCTTGCTTATATATGAAATGCTGATAGACTGCTTACCACCCCAGACACCGCACACCATGGCAAGGGATGGACACATTCAAAATCATTCGTGTTCTGCGGGAAGTCTACAGAGAAAAGCAACAGCAGTACAGGCAAGATTATCTGCAAAATTTTGCAGTCCACCAGAAATTCATACATACTCTTTCCCTTATACAGGGATCTAAATTACTGCTAGAAATTGGTGCATACTAAGCAATCTCGTCTCCAACACGTAAGCCTCTGGGGATGGCCCTGTATGGCTGAAACATTTAAGGAATACTTTATCCAATAAATACTCGTAAGATTTCTGGCTACTATTCATGGTTCTTATTACTAAATTTTGAATTTAGTTTGCAATTATAGTTTTAGTAGTGATTTACTTGATTGCAATTATAGTTTTAGTAGTGATTTACTTGATAACAGAAACACTGAAGCAAATTACACCTGAAGATGGTCATATTGCATTAGTAAAAAAGGTGGTTAAATATGGCAGTGTGGTTATAACTGCGCAGTCGCCGAAACGCTTACGAATGTTACAGTAATAAGACTGAAGTAACTGATTAAGAAGCAGGATTTGAGGTGCTGACACCAGTGGTTATGAAGAGTACCCCTTGGATATAACGTCGTGTAGTCCGATGAAAGTCAACTGACATTTCAGAGAAGCATATCACAGGTGGCAAGCCAGCTGCTTTCACGCTGGTATCTTGCTCGGCTTATTCGACCCTGAAGATGGAGGCGATATGTTCCCCCGAAACGTCTGTTGACTTTCAGTGGACACACAACGTTATATCCCAGAAGACAGAATTATTCTGTTTCCATGCTTGTCTCACAATGAACTATCCTTGTCTGCACATGGGAGCCCCCAGGAACATTTTTGAAAGCGGGGGGCAGACAGAAATCGCCCTAGTGTCTTCAAGATAGAAGCCTGCGATTGTTGTCATTAGCGCCCCGTGTACTTCCTCTTCTTTACCGATTTTGATTTTATTTGCAGAAGTTTTTGGAATAAGTAATCGATTGGTCGGACGTTCGGGTAAATTGCTGCGGGCCCTCGCCAGAACAGTCAGTCTGGTACCCATGGCCATATCTTTGTTCTTTCCAAGACTCTTTTATGTTTTGAAATGGGGCCTCCTTTTCGACGAGAGGAGGGGATGTGACCGCTACTGGGGCAGTGACTCCAAGATCTGGGGAGAACTAAGCGCCCACTTTCCAAAAGGAGAGAGAAGAGAAAGAAAATTGGGAGGTAGTGAGAGAGACTACATTTGGAGGAGGAGCAAGAAGCTACATCTCCACTTTTCAAAGTTTCTGCTTTTCTCTCATTGCATGCTGAGTACTTGGTACGGCACGGACCGCACAGAAAACACCGTGGCCAACAGTTCTTTTATTGTCTCATGTATATTCGTCTTCGCGGGAAGGTGTTTACCGAGCCGTTGCCTAGCAACGTTAGAAGGGACACGCAGCAAAGTGATGTCATAAATCATCTTTTGTTTTCTTTTCAAAAGAAGGAAAGTACTCTGAAATCCAATGCGGGACTGCAGACGGCTATTCTGAGTGTTTTGTGGTTTTTCTCAGCCTCTCCAGTCGAATACTTGAATAATACTTCGATTAGACCACAGTCGTTTCCTTCCAAATTCTTTCCAATTCATCGGTCAACCTACTATTCGAAGCCATATAGTATAGCTACTGGCAGCGTCGTGAAATAACCCCCCCCCCAGTATATCAGTACTTGATAGAGATTCATTTACATAACACAGTGTATCGTCGTCCCTCCGCGCCGTACTTACATCCACTACTATTCCCGCAAAGGCAAAGATGCGGCCCGGTGGAGAATCCTTCGGCGTGTACCGGTAGAACTCATGGTTACCCCGATACCACTTCACGGAGTACAGAGGTTCACCTTCCAGGTCATAGAGACACAGAAGCGTCGCTTCTCCTCCCACGCGCACCACCGGTGGAAATACCAACTTCACGTTTTGTAGGCTGTCAACACCTGAAATATCCGCCAGCACATGTACACACATCACTCGAGATTAACCCTAGAAGTGCCAAGTGTCGATCATTACGACGTTTACAAAAATTCCTCTATCCGTTACCATAACAACCTTTTTGATTAGTAAAATTAATAAGTTAGGAAATGTAAGAACCAAGGGGTGTAAATGACTGTTCTGATCTAGGCAGACGCTCAAAGCGTCAGTTGGAAAATCCGAAGAGTGAAGACATAACAAAGGGAATTGCAGATTATCTGTTCCCTTGTTATTTGCGACAGGAGATTTCACTTCTACGCGTCTCGTTGTTGTGAACGGTTTTAAACACTGGTCCGGAGACAGACTAGCTCTGTCGATTGGGCCCAACTCAGTAGGTTTTACCTGAAGACGGAGACAGAAACCAGTCTCCGAAACGTTGTTTTGGAAAATAAACATGGCGGTTTCTAGATAAAGACAAGAAGATGGATAATGTCCAGAAACATAATATTTGTACAGACGTACCATCGTCACAAACTTTTAGATCTTACTTAAACATATTTTTGACACAGCAGATTAGGCGCAATTTAGCAGCGATTAAAACAATTGATGTGACGTTCGGTGGCATGCTGTTCATATCGAGTTGGACTCAGTTACCTTCATATTCGTGTTCAGACGGGAATAAGGCATGCAGGACTTACCGATGACGGCTGCGTACAAGGAGACCAACGTCCAGAATTCCGGGGCCTTCATTCCTTCATTTTCAGACTTTCCTCGTTAAATTTTCGGTAACATTTTCACTGCTCTCGATAAGGACACGTTGTAACTCCTGAGTTAGTCTTACGGTGTGGTTAGCCGAGAGCTCCTCTTGATGCTACAGACGCACGGTGTTGAACTGTCACCAGTCCCCAGTCCGGACAACATTTACATCGACGAAAAGTTAACAGTCGGTTTTGTTCGATTCCAGACAGGGGCAAGAGACTTTTTTCCACGCGTCCACACCGAGCCTGGGACCCATCCGACCTCCTATCCAATGGGTAGCATGGGCTCATTCCCCGAGGGTAAAGCGGACGAGGCGTGAAGCTGACCACTCAGCTCCATCTAGTACAGAATGTAAGAATACATGGATCTATTCCACCACTACCCCATACATCTTCATGGAGTGGTGCTTCATTAAACACAAAGACTGCTTTACAGTTTACATTGTAAGTGCACGCTTCACACAATTATTAGGCGTTCTTCATAACGTTAAAAGACAAGTGGAAAGTCGTTGCAAACATTTTCTCAGTTGCAACTCAACCTGACTGCGTTGCGTTGGAAACTAAATGTTTTGTTGTGTGGCAATCATTGTTAGCTGCTGAATACCGAACAACAATGAAATCCGTCCCACCGGTAAAGCCGGTTAGAAAAAATTTGCATTCAACAATTCTGCCCCTGGTGTGTGTACCGTTACTTGCCTGTAGTTACCACCTGTAGGGCTTATCTGGGGAGGCAGTCTGAAATTGAAACAAACCGTTACAGACGATTTCGAGAAAATTGCCATTTTGTTTTTGGGGCTATCCGTCGACCAATGATGGACGAACTCTTTAACTATGGAATATGAACAGAGTCCGTCCAACCGTTCAGGCGCTACATACATACATAAACAGAATAACTGACAGCATTTCAGAATCAGGGAAACCGATAAACGCATAAATCCATCAAAATCTCCAGATACATTTTGGTCGCGATCAGGACTGCGTCTAGAGGAAATTGCGTCTGTCTGTTGGATCGAGCGGGTTAGCGTCGCGGTAACGTTCTAAACTTTTGTTCATGAGATATTCAGTTCGAATTCCGGCCGGGACATGCATTCTTCTGGCTGAGGTTAGGTTTTACCCAGTTCCTCCAAGCAAATTCCGGGATAGTGACCTGATTAGGACACAGTCGCCTCCTTTCAAATTCATTTTACTTCACCATTCATCGTTGCCATTGTCCGCCGTACAGTCTAGACAGTAATGCCATCGTGAATAACCCACGAGAGAATTGCAGTAAGAAGTTGTCAGGCAACTCCTTTTCTCGGCATAAGTGGAACCAAACAAACTGAACTTTGTGTGCTACATTTCGGGGTACAGCCTTTTTTTCTTTATTGCTAGTGGGGTGGGACTAAGTCCCTTGTACTGCGCCCACTTCTGGCCTATTGTACCAGCCCCAGATGATAGGTGAGGGTGATTGTGGAGCAATTGGTGGAATGAAGATTGGCAGGGGAAACCGAAGTACTCGGAGAAAACCTGCCCCAGCAACACTTTGTGCATCACAAATTCCACTTGAGCAGACCCGGGATCGAACCCGGGCCGCCGCGGTGGGAAACCAGCGACTAACCGCTTGAGCTATGGCGCGGCCCGGGGTACAGCCTTTTTTTCATCTTCCTAATATGATGTTTATGTGATCAGTCTTTGCTGCAACTAATACTTGCAGTATGTACAATTTAAATTCAAGGATCTCCAAACACGGAAATGAACGTAGAAAAGTGTTACATGTCTTACAGAACGAACAGATTTGTCGCTATTTTTGGGCGCGTTCGCTTGTTTTATAAGTTATAACCCCATATAGAACTCCACTAACCTATACGTCTTGATGGCATGGTGCTTAGGCACAGGGACTTTACTTTTTACGTAATTTTAATTCAGTGGATGTACAGTTTATGTGTTTAGTGAATCCGCATCTGCACTACAGCAGGGCGTATCAGTTTCGGCGCCTTTGCTCACGTTTATTTATTTTTCGCGAAACCCGCAAAACTTAATAAACAAGCCATACAGCATAAAATGTCCGTCTCACTCTTCTCTCCAACTTTTATCTGAGATTTTCTCTCTCCGATAAACATTAAACGAGTTACGTTCAAGGTGCGCGCGCAGAAACGCCAGCAGATCTTCGTGTGAAGTGTCCGGTATTGTTGGCCGATTTTAAGCAAAGTTGAGGTTTGTTGACAGATTTAAGTAAAATTTGCCAACACCAAATTTTATGAGGATGTACTCAGCCGTTCTCAGTTTGCAGCGTGCTGGTGCGAGCACCACAGAACTTTGTGTAGTCTGTAAAGACAAGCGATAACTGTGCGTCTTAGGCGCTGAAGAGAAACAAGTCGCTACCATAACACATGACGTCACATAACACAGTGTTCTTCATGCGCACAAACGTGAGAGCCTCGAATCCACAATAATAACAAAATTACTGAGAAGCCACTAGTTGCGCAGCCACTCTACGAATTCCCAGAATTCTGGAACCAGAATGTTCATTACCGTGTTCACAACAGCCAGCCACTAGTCCATATTCTAAGCCAGATATGTCTAGTCCACACACCCCCAAAATTATTATTTAATATCAATTTTAGCTTTATCTCCCCATCTACGGCTAGGTCTTTCTAGTTGTATCTTCAAGGTTTTCCTACCAAAACTTTATATGCATTTCCCTCTTGCCTTCTCCCGTAAGTGCTACATGCCCCTCCAATCCTCCTTCATTTGATCATTCTAATAACATTTGGCGAGGTGTACAAATCATGAAGCTCCTTGTGCAGTCATTTGCAGCTTAGTCTTACATACAAAATGATTAGTGCTTTAAATATTTAATTCCAAGTATAGGAAGCGGTTTATGGCGCCGTGGATTAGCTATCAGCACTCGGAGGGATCACTTAGTTGGAACACTGAAACCAACAGCCCCATCCACCTGTGAACAGAAACCCTCCGAAAACAACAAAAAGCACTTCCTGAACCGTTCACCGATTGTCTCTTGTTTCCGAGCTGGTGACACTGCGGGCCTCTCGCGGCAAACTGAAATAACACGCGCGTAAGTCAGTTGTCTGGAGCCCCCCCCCCCTGCGACACACATTTTTCTGAATGGAAAATGCTTAAGGCGGCTTCATATATTTAACTAAGCTAATAACTGGTCAGCTGGCCAAAAAACTCCTCGCGTTTTGTGGAACCCATAAGGTTCATTACCGAATTCACAAAAGCCCGAAACTGCATAAGAAATAACACTCCGAACACACAGTGGATCTTGCGATCAGAGGTTCAACTCAAAGCCAGGATCCCCCCTTACCAAAAATAAAATATAACGCTGGGAGAATACCATGGACGCGGCTAGGATATTTTCCAAGGGGGAGGGGCGTGGTAGTTGACAGGAAGTAGTCAAACCCCTCTTCTCGTCGAAGAGGAGGCCCCATTTCAAAACACGTAAGTGGTCTCGGAACGAACAAAATTTTGGTCATGGACCCCACAGGGTCCGAAACCAGCAATGACTATGCTGGCGAAGGCCAGCAACAGATTACTGCTGTGCTCCCACGTCCCGGGCGGTTAATAATCTATATTAAATTTTCGCGCTTGTCCTTCTGCTAGAGTTACGTTTGAGAAAGGGTAAAGCTTTGGGAAGTGAAGAAGGTAACCGGTTAGAAAGTGGATTTTGTTGTGAGCAGAGGAGAGAAGTTGAGCAGGGACTTTACTGCGCATGGTCGGAATTTTGATAATAACGTCGGAAGGGCAGCATTACGGTGACATTTGGGGGGCTACATTAGGGCGCAATTTTGATGTAAATATTGGGAGGGCTGCAGGGTACCTCTCCATCCCCAAATAATATTTTGCTGTATATCCAGTAAAATCTCCTCAGCTGTGTAGATCTGGAATTCGTATCAGACGTTTCGGAGAGTGTCTCTTCAGGAATTCATTAAGTAAAGGATGGTGAGAAGCGGAGCACGTAGCACGCATGAGGACAATTAGAAATACAAAATTTTGGGACGGAAAATCTGAAAGGAAGAGACAACATGTACTGGGGGCACCAAGCGTCTGGTGGTGATGGTGGTGGGGGGCTTTGTTGTCCCCTTCTCAAAGCATACTGCGCGATCTTAATGATGAATAAAAATAATCATCTTTGGCTGGTGACATGCGCACAGCTGCACCTGGCAGAGGAAGAATGGAAGTTGCCAAGAAAAGAAAATGACAGACGTGATTTCACGTACAGTCACTGCCGAAGTCTCAGGACCTCCCAGCAGAAGCAAAGCTGAAGAACCCAACCTCTCGCCCTCTCCTTTCCAGCCCCTGTTTCATGACAATTGTGTCGCCGGACCGAGGTTTCAACCCGAGTCCCCCAAAGTCACAGAGAGGGCTATGAGTTAAGTACACTCCGTCTGCTAGACAAACGAGAACGCGTCATGCTGAGTTAATGACGCACTTGTTATGTCAACAGGAAGTTGCTAATTTTATTTTCAACGTACTTCCGGTATCCATTCATACGTACACAGGCCTTTCCTTCCGTAAGGTTCACAGGAGTACCCACTCCTGTGAACCGCTTGCCGTCCGTCCAGCGGACAGGATGTGGTTGGAAGAGATCGCGCAGTAATAGTCATCTCGGACATTATCCAGCGTCTTGTATTAAATACATCATGTTTCGGAAGCCGGATTCGCTTCCATCCTCAGTTGTATGATGAAAGTAGGAGGTATTAAGTCGACGGACAGTAAAGGTAAAGTTGTCCCTGTACTTAACTAAGTGTGCACTACGCCATAAAGGTGTATGGAGAAGTGGGTGTATAGACACGTTTTCTTGACCTTGGCACTAGTTGGAGTGGTCAGCTTCACGCCCCGGTATCCATTGGGTAGGAGGTGGGGTGGACCTCAGAGCCGGTCTGGACAATGTGGAGTGAAAATATTTGCCCCCACCGGAACTCAGACTTCGACTATTGTCACAAACGTTTACAGGATCATTAGATGACAGTGGCCTATTTCTAGGTACTATCCTGCAATTCGCCTGGATGAACTGAGAAAAAGCATGTAAAATCTCAGCCAAGTCGGCACCGAGATTCGAACCAGACATCTGCCGAATACAAGTGACAAGCTTTTACGCAGGTTTGAGAACGCACCTTTTCTGCAGACAGACATCCATACAGACGCGTGGCTGAGACGTTAGCACATCCATCCTCAACTCGCCTTGTTTCCAGAAAGAATGTCGGTGTTCCAAGATTGAAAATAGTCGTGACACTGAGGAATGGACTACGGACTGGGGCTGCTAATAATACACTGAGTCCACAGGGGAGGGGGGCCTAATAATACAACTTAATTCATTTTCAGTCGTCATGAAGCGGCCAGGTGTCTGCGCGCGCCTCATCTGTCAGATCTGCTGTCCACTGTCCACCTGGCGAGGAAGATAAACATTTAACTCACAAGATGTACCAGACAATTCGCCAACAATAAAAAAAACAAGGTTGGCTCAGCGGTCACGCGTGCCCGGGGTGCAAGCGATAGTCAGTACATCCTGACTGACAAGTGTCCGGCTTCAGCTGAACGGACATCAAGCGTTTCGAACCCTAAACACAGCTGTGATCTTCGGGGCGCTGTAAAGTTCTCCCTGCTCTTAAGTAATTAAAGCACCACGCCACGAAGACGTATGGAGGAGATGAGGTATAGGTCCACGTATTCTTGACCTCTACACTAGTTGGAGGTGGTCAGCTTCACGTCCGGGGAATTATTGCCCGGTACCCTTTGGATAGAGGGTTGGGTGGGCATAAGAACCGGTCTGGACGCTGTGAAGAGGAGTAAAATTTCGTCCCTGCCGGTACTCGAACTCGGAACCCTCAGCCAGTCGCGACCCGTTCACAGTTGGCGGAGCACAGACATTGCATATATTTGGGCCCCTAATACGTGTACCGTTATTTTCCTGAAGATACCGCCCTCGCTGTTCTATTTGGGGAGGTGGTCTCCATGAGGTACCGAATTTGAATCAAAATTGCTTTAACCGTTTTCGAGAAAATCTTCGTTCTGTGGTTGAGGGCATTCACGGAACGTCGACCTGTGATGAAAGACTCTGAATGCCGAATACAAATCAGTTCAGCCCAGACCAGGGGGGCAGCGAGTCGCCCACTAGAACCCACTTCTTCATATTAAAGGGGGCCCAAAGCGTGTAAATCCCTTAAAATGTAGAGATCTGTATTTTTGTCCGTCCCAACGCTTTCTCGCGCTACAGCGCGTACACACGGGAACCAAAACGTGTAGGGGCCAGCAAGCATTCTTCCACGGGGAGAAACCGTAAGTACTATTTACTGTTTTGTATATTTGTTTCTTTTCTTCGATGGCCGGGAGAGCGTAGTGAGAACAGCGACTGGCTGCGGGCTGGACGACCGAGGAGTTGGAGTTCGAGTCCTTGTGGGGTCAAGAATTTTTCTTTTCTTCACTTCATCCAGACCGGCTCTGGCGTCCACCCAACCTACTATCCGGTGGGTACAGGGGGAGCTCTTTCCCAGAGGGTAAAGCGGCCGGTGCGTGAAGCTGACTAGTCACCTCCAGCTAGTGCCGAGTTTAAGAAAACACCTCCCCCATACGCCTTCATGGTGTAGAGCTTAATTAGTTAAGCACAGGGACAACTTTACCTTTCGTTTCTTCAATTTTGACCTGTTTCTAAAAATCCGGATGTGGGGGCACATACTTAGCTGACCCCTCAGCCATGCCGGTGCCTCGCTTTCATGTCCAAATATCCTCTGAAGCAAGAGGAACTCCTCTTGTCTGGGCCTAGTCATCAGTTTCCTTCAAGCAAATGCCAGGAGAGCATCTTGAAGAGGGCTGAACCACCTCCATAGCCTTTCCAATTCATGCAGCTGCTAATTAACGGCGTCGTGAAACAATCCACACACGCTCCACCATTCACAGTCCGTCTCGCGCTGTAACGACCCGCTTTCCTATTTTTAAACAATAAAATTCAGTATCTCTTGGCGCCGTTGTTAGTGCTCAAGTCAGTATGGTGAGCGGGAGCAAACCACGTGACCGATCCTGCATGACGTCACAGCTGATCGCTCCAGATTTGATTTGGAACGAGAGTCGACGTTTACACAAGAATTTACATCCGTGTGTTATTTTTGTATATGGATTATTATGCTTACTACTCCCAGTAAAATTAAAAACAAACATGAAGTCAAAAAGTGTTGCTACGATATTTCATCGAATTCGTATTTCTGTATTTTAAGCACCTTTTGGTGTAGCCTAAAGAAGGACCGTAGATTCTCAAGAACATCTGAGTGTACTGTGATTGTGTTATAATTTTTGTATTGTTTCTTGCAGGATAATTGGGAAGAATAGGAAAATGTTTTGCTCCTGGGTGCGTGTCATGCAGTGAGCACACTGGAATGAAATTCTTCTGTTTTCCCAGGGATTCAGCACGGTATGAGCCAGATGTAAAATAATATTATAAAACATACTGTAAAATTTTGGCCAGTGTTATTAAAGGAGCTAAGAATCTTCATTATAATTAATTTCCAATTCTATGGGGGGAGACAAGGAATGCGTATAGGATATTGGTGGGAAAGCCAGAAGGAAAGAGACCACAGGGAAGACCAAGGCGTAGGTGGGTGGACAATATTAAAATGGATCTTAGAGAGATAGGATGGGATGGTATGGATTGGATTGACAGGACAGGGACCAGTGGAGGGCTCTTGTGAACATGGTAATGAAACTTTGGGTTCCATAAAATGCTGAGAAATTCTTGAGTACCTGCAGAATTGGCGGCTCCTCCAGAAGGGCTCAGCTCCATGAGTGAGTAAGTAAGTAAGTAACAAAATGAAAACCACCTGGAGCATTATAAAATCAGACACAGGTAGAAGAATTAATAATGCAGGTGTACAGTTTTTAAACATTGATGGGAAGTTGACTGATAATCATGATGTGATTACAGATTCTAATAAGAATAATTTTTGAACAATAGCTGACAAGATCAATACCAATATTGCAAACGTTGGCCACATTATAGAGTTGGATGCTGACAAATAGTCAAATTATCTGTCTCGAGCTTTCACGATTCCCTTTTCAAAAATTAAACTGAACCATACCTCTACTAAAGAAAATGAAAATATAACTAAGTATTTAAAACCCCCAAAATATAGTGTGTATGATGAAATTCAGGTTAAATATCAGCACGACCNTAGCAAATGAACCATATGGTTTTAGGAGTAATTCATCTACAAAAATGGCCTAACACAAATTCATTAACTATATATTAAATGTACTGAATAACACAATATTAGTGGGTGGCATTTTCTGTGATTTGAAGAAAGCTTTTGACTGTGTCAATATCTGTCTGCCTGCCTAAAGTAGAATTTAATGGAATAGTTGGTAAGGCCAATGCATTGATAAAATCCTGTCTCAAAGATAGGTTCCAAAGGGTTCTAAATTCATTTTACTCGGAGGAATATTTTAACTTCAATATTAATTAATGATCTTGGTCTGTTATACGCTGGATGCCTAGTAGTATACTTTTATGTTTCATTATAATAGTCTTGTGTCTAGTGTGTTGCATTCTTTTACATATATATTTTATAACTGTGTTAATGATTTACTCACTGTAATTTGTCTTTGATAATATGTGTAATTGTTATGGATAAAGTATAATTAATTTGTATTTATATAATTGATGCAACTTGTCCTGTTGTTTTTGACTGTTACTATATCCACTGTTCTTCCAGCCATGTAAGGATTCATGGGATGCAAATAAATGAATGAATCTCTGTTTTAGTGTGTGCTGCAATGGTTTTCTTCTGCTGCTTTATACGATGAAGAAATTAAGTGTAGCCAGTGTCTGCATTAAATGAATTAAACATAACCCCACAATGTAGCACCTACATTATGTTTGTAATGTTTACTCATGAATTATTTCAGGGTTGTGAGACAACGTAATATTCTTACAGGGCTATGATATGGGCAGGAGGAGTTGGATTATCCTGTACTACTGATTCTGCTGGAATGCTGTACTGCTGATGACTGAAGCAGCCAGGCAGAGGGCCACAGAGAGGAAGATGAAGATACTGACTCATCAGTAAGTCATTGGGAAAGTAATGCTTCTTCATTTTTCCCTTATAATGTCCTGCCCATACCAACCCTGGAAATAGACAGCAGTTATGGAATTACTGTTAGAATATGTGTGCCAACTAGTCATATGAGCATCATTAGATGTTTCATAAGTTGGAGAAAGTAACCCTGGTGACAAGCAGTTGCAGTGCAGCAACAGGAACTACTGTGCAGCGAATGATAACATCGTCATCCACAGTTCAATTGCACACAGGAAACTTATTTTGAACTTGAGCTCCCTCTCCTCCCCTCTTTGCAAACATGTTTCCTTCATCTCAGAATATTAGAACTTCACTGGGTCAGAGTTCATTCTGACCTTTATCTTCAAGAAATTGTATTTCAGTCGCGTGTGTGGGAAATTGTTTTCTGACACACATGGGTCTTGTTTATGTGTAGGTAAGAATGAAGAGGCATTACTTTATAATTGACTTGCAAAGTTCAGGTTATCCACTTCAGTGTGAAACTCTGAGAAACAAAATCAGTATCAGGGTTGAATGTGGGTAGGACTATTTATGTAATTTCTTTACCTATTTCATTTTCATTACATTGTTATTCACTTTTGTTGTTATAAGTAATACCTTCTCTTGCTTTTGTGTTATTCACTTTTGTTGTTATAAGTAATACCTTCTCTTGCTTTTGCTGTATAATGCTACCTGTACTGGACTGGTGAACATGAACATAAGATTTTCAATATTAATTGCATTTCTTTAAGATATGTTATTATTTTTGCCATATTATTCTGCCCAGTATTGAACTGGTGAAGATGAATATATCAGATTTTCTTATATAATTAAATGCAGTCTTAATCTTGTTGACAAGAGTGTGTCTCACATTCTCGAATTCCATCATTCTAATGAAAATGGGAACATGAGTATTGTTGCTTACAATACATGATTTATAATACTTAAATGTAACCGAAAAACTGTGTTCTGTATGGCTTTCAAGTGTAAGTTATGAGGAAATTATGGGGTTTAATATATGTATCTCTGATGGAAACAGAATTTTCTTTCAAGTTTCCCCACCTTCAGCTTTCCCAAATACAAGTATTCCATGTTTGTCACAGTTCACAATGTTCAGTTCCTTTGGTTAAAGAGGTGTTTCATGTGAAAGAAAGGTTATGACTTTCCAGGCACTGGTGACAAACTTTCTCAAGATAAATAATTTGCAACCTGATCTCTTGTACTACACAGCTGCAGAGGCTCCAATTCCCTTGTTTTTTTTTGTTTTTTTTGGAAAGGGTGGGGGACCAAGTTTTAATAGCACTTCACTCAAATCCAACAAAATGATATGATTGATTGATATGATTGAACTTACTTATGCAGCTGAGCCCTTCTTGAGAAGCTGCCAATTGTGCAGCCACTCAAGAATTGTCCAGCCTTTTATGGAACCCGAAGGTTCATTACCATGTTCACAAGAGCCCTCCACTGGTCCCTATGTTGAGCCAGATAAATCCAATCCATATCATACCATCCTATCTCTAGGATACATTTTAATATTGTGCACACACCTACACCTTCGCCTTATCAGTAGTCTCTTTCCTTCTGACTTTCCCACCAATATCCTATATGCATTCCTCGCCTTCCCCATTTGTGCTACATGCCCTACCAACCTCATCCTCCTTGACTATTGATACTGAACACAGTTCAAAAATAGAAATAGGAGGGGGGGGGGTGACCTCTGCAGTACAAGAGATCTGGTTGTAAAAGAATTTATTGCTCTTCTAGCGAACAAAGCATTGGGGGGGGGGCACTCAAAATAGTTGCTATGTTAGCATACCTTCTTACCGATTGTGCTCTCGGCCATGTTAAATTTAGTTAATGTAGAATGCATAGAGATGGCAGAAGCATTGCACCGTAGCGTCATGGCGGCAATGTTGCCCACAAATAACATGGGAGTTTCACGGGGCTGCCCAGTGTTAACGTTTTCCTCCACAGATAGCGCTAAAGTTTTTATTTCATTTTTTCCTTCTTAAATCGAGTTGTTTTAGCTTGATCTCAGGCGTTTAAATAGCTGCGTGATATCAGGGTTGGGCTGACACTTCGTGGCTTTCCATGAGGATTTAGTCGCGAGTGTTCACGTTTTGCTGCACAGATGATACTAAGTTTTTATTGCATTTTCCTTGTTAACTCCCGCTGTTTTAGCTTAGTCTCAAGCATTTAAATATCTGTGTGATAGCAAACGTGGGCTGATGCTTTGTGGCTTTCCGTGAGGGTTTAGTCTCGAGTGTTCAAGTTTTGTTCCACAGGTGGCGCTAAGTTTTTATTTCAATGACCAAAGTACCCCGTTTTGGTCAGTCTGGAATTTAAACTCCGCTACTGGAACGGTGCGCACACGCTGCTAGTGGAATCGCATTCCGGTCACGGTAGCCGAGCCGTCTAAGGCATGTATTGTCTTCGCTTGCTTGGAAGCCGAGATCCCCAGGCTTTTGAGATGGTAGTAAGCTTCAGCTGGCCGGACTTTATTTAAATGCCCGTTGTTACTCTGCGTTTAAATGTCCGTCCC